CCCTCTTCCTTTCACCCTGCTGCTGCAAGCTGGGTTTCAAAGGCCTGCCCTGGTGCTCTGGGATCCAGCAGGCAGTGGGGAGCCTGGAATGCAGGAGCAGCAGTTGGCACAGGGGTCTTTGGTCCTGTGTGGCAGCAGGGCTGCAGCTGAGCTCCTGCTCGCTTGCAAGGGGAATTCAAAGGCTCCCACGACATTGAGCCCCTCTGAGTTTAGCTGGGAAGGGTGTCATGCACATCCTTTGCTGAGGGTGCTCCTGGAGCCACACGGCTATCACTGCTTTGAACACAGCTGTTACTCAGCAGCACTTGGCCACAGCTAGAGGGATTTTCTATGTGGTGAGCAGCCACCAAACCTAATCTCATGCCAGAACTAGGAGCCAGCCACAACCTAAAAAGAGAACACGGACACATTCTCTTCAAGCTCCTTCAGCATGAGCCAAACCAAGGGGCTAAAGAATCTCCTCCAAGCAAACTCACTTTCTTTCTGCCTTCAGACTTTGAATATAGTGTGTCCTGCAACTCCTCCCCATCCAATCTCAGCACGTGTCATAAGCACACTTCTACCCACCTGTGGTAACTTTGACTGGTTGGAAATTTTCTAACCTCATTTTGAAGCCCACATTCTCCCTCTGTAGGGAGGAAAACAAGCTCTGCCTGCACGTTTCTTCTTGTAATCTAAAATAAGTTCCACATTAAGCCTCACCAGCTCTGTATTTGTGTGCAGGGAGAAACAGGAAGAGAAATTTAGGAACAGGAGCAGAAGCACAAAGAAAAAGAGAACGCCTTGCTTCATTGCTATTCCCTGCACCCCTTCATGGGTCAGAGTATCTGTCTGAAGTACTGCACGCTTGAACAGACAGGGATCTAGTGAGCTAGAGGAGTTTCTGAACACCCAATCCATTGAGAGCTGCATGAATTTCCAGACTCTGCCAGTCAATATTTAGATACCCAAAACTTTTCCAGCATCAAATGACTGACTTGTGATCCCTGCACAGCCACCGCTGCCTGCAGAGGAGATCAGCCATAAGCCATGTCCCCACATCACCCAGCTGGGTCACGCCAGTGCAAGCTCAGCTGTGTTTTCTCACCATGTCTTGCTTAGCAGAAGTAAGTCACAGGGAGGTAAAGAAGGGCTGAGCTGCAGACCTCTTTTCTTTGAGCACCTGGAACTCGACTCCGGTTGGGACCTGAGGTGGTTTTTGCTTACTGAGAAGGACAGCTGTCTTTTGGTTATTGAGATGCACTTCCCAGAACACATTTTTGTTTGTTTGCTTTTTAAACACATCAGCCTCCTATCATCGGTGCTCTAGTTTTCAGTAGCATCTGCTGCACTCCTGACTTTCAATCTCATTCCTGGCAGAGCCTCCTCACCTTCTCCTCACTTGCAGCAAACACAAGTGTTGTGCCTCCAGCAGAATAAGGAAAAGAAAGGAGAAATGAAAGCAATGGCTATTCCACTCTCTCTGGCAATCTTTGCGGTAAGTATCTTGCTATAAAAGACACAGCATTCCCACCTTCTTCCCCTGTTATTTAAATTCTTCTCACAGCCTTGAATGCCACTGAGATGAGTGCACCTGAGAGCACAGCCTACTTCTGTCACCCAAGGTCACTGTGTGCTTGTGAAGCATCTCAGACCAAGCTCTGCATACACACTGTGCTTTCAGCACTGACTCTAACACAAGCCTCCAGCCATACTCCATGAAGGCTGAGAAACCCAGCACTCTTTTTGAACAGGGCCTAATCCCCTTGCAGTAAATGAGTTTTCTCACACCCAGCATAAACATCTTGTTTTCAAGCCTCCTTATTGAAATGGAGATGCTAACTATATTTACCCCTACTTTGCAGATTTTAGAACAAAACAAAACCAACAAAACCCAGAACCTGTTTTCCTCATGCTGGAGGAACAGGGGCTGGCATCTCCTGCAGGCAGCTGCAGATGCATGGAGAAACAGTGGAGTTCTCACCTGCCCGCAGAATTAATGATGAAGAAACCAATGGGAGCAGCAGCTCTGGGAGAGGACCTTATCCACTCTCGGGTCATTTCCACAAAGAGGTTTGAGGCAGGGGTGCAGTCAAGAAGAACTCAAGGGTAAGCAGAGTTCGCTTAGCATTTTAAGCAATGCAAAGTTTGCATTTTTCATGATACATCAAAATAAGAACAAACGATCCTGCCAATTTATTTATTGCAACACCTCTGAGTTAGCAAAAGATGCCGTTGTTACCCCCACAAAACGACCTTCATCATTTTTCTCCTCTGAAGTGCTAGATGCAAAAAAAACAGATGTTGGTTCCAGCACTACAGTGTACGCTGTACTTAGTACTGGTGGCAGAAAGGAGCAGGAAGGGCTCACAGACCTGACTGAGTACTCAGTTGGATCTTTCTCCGTTTTGGCTTTGGAGTTTAGCCTGCAGGAAGAAATAAATGTTACTTGTATAGAAGATGGATGTTACCTCAGTGGGCAGAAAGGCACTGCAAGTTGTTCCACAAACCATATGTGGTTGCCAAGCTCATGGTCCCACCTGAGCCCACTCATCGTGACTGTCACCCTGACAGGCAACCAGGTGACTGACTATAGCCAATTCATCTGGCTTGCCCACGTCTCCCATTCATGGCCACACATCAAACTAGGTGGATTACAAATTGTCATGGACTAGGTGAAAAACTGCAGAACTGTCCTTGTGCCAAGCACATCAGGTGGAAGATGACAGAAATAACAGCACCCTTCACAGTCACACCAGCACAAAGGAGCGCTGAGTGTTGAGACAAGGAGGCACAAAAATACAAAATGTAATCAGTTCTAAGTAATGTTAAGTTTGTTGGCTTTGTAATGGAAAATAACTGCTGTGCTTGAAGGTAGTTGACATAGTTTCAGGCCCTCAGGACCCCAGTACAAAAGGTGTGAGAAAAGCAGAATAGAAGGACAGGACCTGGGGATGGGAAGTATCTGGGACTAGCAGGTGTCCAGGGTGGGCACAGATAAACTAACTGATAAGTAAAAGGACAGGATGATTGCTATGCTTGGAGTGTTAATAAACCCATTAAGCTGGTGTAAGCATCTAATAGGGAGTATCCCGGACTAGCAGATGTCCAGGATGGGAGCAGTTAAACTAACTGATAAGTAGAAGGCCAGGATGATTGCTATGTCTGTAATGTTAATTAAGCTTGTTGGGAAAAGTAAACGACCCTTAAAGACCACCACATTTTTGTATGCATGCCGGAAACTCTTTGGAAAATGATGTAATATGCTCAGTGACCGTATAAGGATGACCTGTACAGCAATTCGGGGACACAAGTTAGGAGGAGCTATCCCCCGTGTCTCCCGGCGCCGCAATAAAGAATACCTGCTTGTCAACTTGAAACTCTGCTGGCAAGTTTGTTCCTGGAGTTTTCTCCGAATCAGTGTCCAGGCAATGCCCAGGACCTGCCTGAAGCTAAGCCTTGGTCAAAACTGTCAGAGCATGGCCACCTTCCTGAGCTTACTTACTTACTAAGCAAACTTACTAGGCACAACATGAACCATCTTCTGTTCCTCTAGCAGCCACAAAAAGCAACTGTATTGAAAAAAACATTCAAACCAGACTATTTCTGTGAAAAACTATCATTTTATTTTCAAAGACATACACTAATGTCCTAAGCACAAAGCCTGCCTACCATCCTGAACTAAAAAACAAAGCCATACTCTGCAACTGAAAATTGCTACCAGCCTGTGTCACTTGTGTGCCAAGCACAGCAATGCATAACATGCACCAGCAACCCTTTATCCTTTATTATTTACTTCTGACCCCAAGGGCAGTTTCCATTTCTTGTCCACTTTCTCTGCTTTAAGAAGAAGCACGTACTGCAGGCAGCGGAGCTCGTGCTGCCTTCCTTTCTCTGCCATTTACTTCTGTGCAAGAGCAAAGCCTTGGGGCAGCAAGCACCCTGTCCTTATGCAGGAACCACTCTTCTGCACTGGGGACTAAAACAGCCAGGAGGCTTTGGAGGTCTTATGTGGAGGATGAAATTAACCCTTAAATTTACCTTAGCAGGAGCCACCATTTGTGCTGTGAAAAGTAGGCAAGACAATGCAGAGGAGAATCAGTAAGCTTCACCTTTGGCACTGTCTACAAATGAAACCATATTTTAAAGTGTCTCCAAATGTGACAACAGGGAAAGTCTTCAGGGGGAGACAAGTTCCCAGATGATAGCCAGAAGATGGACATGGTGGAATAATTATCACAAGCTTTTCAGGGCCAATCTAGTTTTTCTGCCATGTCTGAGAAGAAATCTTAGAGGTGCAAACCTTCCTCTATCTTCTCCTATCCTTGGACATGAGGTAACATTTTAGGGAGCTCTTCTCAGTGGAGAGAGTGCTCATCTCATTCCCTGTTTTCCCAATAGGAGAAAGTGATCTGGCCCAAGATCACTAGCAGAGGTTATTTGAACAGAGGTAGGTCACTCCCTAAGCCATCTTCCTGTTACTGCACTGCATTAAAAATATGTAGATAGCATAGAAATCAGTAACTCTGTCCTTTCGAGCAGAATAAGGAAACAGTCACTTAATTAAAATGCTATAGTTGCACAGACCAAACTCTATGGTGACTCTGACTCTGAGCTTATGGAGTAGGTTTCCCTGCAGGACTGGTATCTGCAGCAAGGAACAACTGATGGCAAGCACCTTGCTGCATGTGGCTTAGGGCATGCTTTGCTGGCTACACAGAGAGCTGCTCACTGGCTTCAGGTAAGCAAGTGCGAGATGTCTTCTTTAGATTTGATACATTTTGTCTTTAACTTTATACATATTTTAAAGTGTATAGTGGTGGGTAAGCAGGGTAAGAGCATTTTACATACACTCACTCCTTTTGAGAGGTGATGTTAAACACATAACACAACAACTCAGTGAAGCAGAGGAAGAGTACTGGCAGTAAATGAGTATGTCACAATGATTTGTCTCAACTCTTGCAGAGGCAATTTAACATCATTTCAGTGACAGTCTGTCAAGAACACACAGGAATTCACTCTAGTGTCAGCATAACTTTTATTTATTTATTGCTGTCAATATGCACAGTAAAGGAAGACCTGATGTGGCTACCTCCTGAGTACAATAGTTTTGTAAAGACTGATATTGTGGCTTTTGATGATAATAGATCAATGGTGCTGCATTGACAAGCCACAGGGTGATTTTCCTAACTGCCTGAATAACAGATACACTCCCTGGCTGTCCTTTTCTCTGTCCCTTCCAGCATCACATAATATAGACCTTGTAACTGGAAAACAGCCAGAGATAATGTGATGACAGTGTAAAGGGGAAAACCAGCTTTGTATTACTTTCTCTGACCCCTTAAGCCTTGTAGGAGCAAGAATTCATTTGTGGCTTTCTAACAAGCAAGCACAAGTGGGGAAAAAAAAAAAAAATCACAGAAGCATCAGGTATGCTAAGGAGGGATGCAAATCCTCTTTTCCTATCACATTACCTGCCATCACAAAAATGTCAGCTTTCAGTGCTGGACCCTCTGATTGTATAAAACCTCCCATTGCCTCACAGAAGGGTACTGGTCACTAACTGCCTGAAATGGAAAGTAGAGGCTGTGCTTTCAGTGCTTTTCCTCTGATCACACCAGAGTGATGCCCTCCAGGAGCATCACATCCTCTCAATATGCTCCTCCACCCAGCATCAGGCTTCTCCTCTGGCTGGCAAGCCAGGGCTCCCCTCCCATCAGCCTTATCTCTGACTTCTCCCTAGAAAAAGCACTGAACCTTTAGGGAAAGAACTTAGGCAGACAGAATACAAAGCCTGGGACTGGACAGTGTCCCAGCCTGCATGGGAGAGGTAAGCAGCTACACCAGTGTTACTGAACATATGCAATACCCAGCAATACTGATGAGCGGCACAGCCCTGAAAGCCCCAGAAAATCTGCACACAAGACCCCCTGATCCCAACTGTACCTCTGTTACTAACTTTATTCACATTTGAATTGTTTATTCCTTTGTTTTCCGATTTATACCATGGGGATAACAGCATCACTCTGAGTGTGCTTGTCAAGTGCTCTGTAAGCACCAGGCAGTGCTGTTACTACAGCAAGGGTAATTATTAGTCAGCTGCTTGCTTAAAATAGGTGGGAGAGGCTGCAAGGTTTCCACCACAAAGTGATCCCTCTCCTGTAACATACTTAATCACCACATTGAGGGCAAATCCTTCCCTGCAATAACCACATAGTGATCACTCAGAAGGGGAGCACAGGCCAGCCAGAGGCCCACCTCTGAATAGGCTGCCCACAGCTCCTCTCCCAGTGCAGCCTTGGCTTGCCAGAGATCCCAGTTTGACCAAGATAGCCTAAATTGCAATCAAGAGGGCTGGTAGAGAGCAGTACAATGTCTTGGACACTGGCTATTCACTGCAACACATACAGAGATTATTTTCCCCACCTCCATAGCCCTGACAGCTCTCTTCTCACAATGATTAATTCTCCAAGCAGTCATGGGGTTTGTTGCTGGACACTTTTCACCCACCTGTCCTCCAGCTTGTTTTACAGAGGTGGTGAGGAAGTCATCGGAGCCACGTCAAAGGCTCCTCCACACTGAACCTGCCCACAGACAACACCTTCCGCAGCACATACCCTTGTTCCTCCTTCCAGCAGTGACACAGCCACACATCCCAGTACAAAACAAGCGCAAACGTGGCCCCAGGATATTTTGCCCACAGTCAACACAACACAACACCCCTCCAGCTTGTATTGATGCCACTGAGTTACCTATAAACTCTCTGCACATGATCCTCCTCGGAGCGAAATCCTCAGCATCCTCAGGTTGTCTTCACCTTGTGTTGTAACCATTTGCTTGAAAGGGTGTAGCATCAAGAGGCTGCCCTGTGTGTGATATTATTGCCTGTGCTTGGGAGGCTGGGACTGCTGCGGTCTTCAGGAAACTTGCCAGGAAATGTGCCTCACCAAAGTGCTGGTTGACTGGGGGTGTGCAGCAAGCCATTTCCTAGGGGGGATCAGGCAGAACAGGGTAAGCGGCGTCTGGCTGGGGAGGTTACACCAGTTGGAGTGTTGGCTGACAAAGGACTTTCTCAGAAGCACTTGTGTTTGGCAGACAGACTAGACAGGAAGGGAAAGAAGAGGCACTTCCTAAGCTACAGTCTGTGGTTCAGTATAACACCGACCGTGGTGTCTTGGCAAGTCATGGCTTAACATAAGCGGCTGAAGCAAACAGATCTGGAGTGACCAGCAGAGGTCTGCCAGGCTACAGGGAGCATTCAAACTAAAGCAAAGCCACTACCTGAGGGAATTGCCTACTCACAACTTTCCCCCACTTTTCTCACCAAGAGGCAAACCTCCCCTCTGACCTAGTGCCCAATGGCATAACTTTTGCAGAGCTGAATGGCAAATTGAGATAAGAAGACCCCTCCCAGCAAGAGTCACTTTTCATCCCCTGAAGCAGAATCCTTTTGCGACCTCATGATCTGATAGAGAGTTTCCCTGAAGTGCTGGTCCCGGCTCAGTCTTTTGGCTGCTTCTTTCAGCTCCTCAATGTTTTCAGCTTCTGCATGCGAGAAGATGAAGGACTGGGATTGCTTCACTGAAACAAGAGCAGCACAGAAAGGTCAGCACCATCATCAGGGACACAAACTGAAGACAAAGCTTCACTAGAGCACACCAGCCATGCGATAAATGTGACTGAGAACCTAGCAAGGGATAAGCTAAACATTGCACTGAAACAGCTTCACTGTACTGTTTTCAGAGGAGGAAAATGCTGATGGCATGGAAAGAGACTTTCCTTTTTTTACAGCTCTCTCTTATTTAGGGTTCTACATAGAACCTGATCTAACCTTGCAGGTAGCCACCCTGAGTACTTGATTGGACAATGTCCAGGTGTCTCTTCCAACCTAAATCAGTCTATGATTAAGCATTCAGATGAAGCTGGCTTTGAGAATGGATTTTTAGGGACCCAGGACCATCACAGCAGTTACCTTTCAATATACCTGAAGAGACAATCAGCACGCAGATGGGAAGCTCCAAGTTTCTCTGTAACTCTATGCTGTTACTAGGGAATATGAAATATGAACCACACGACCTTACTGCTCTGTCAGCGCCATCTGCACATATCTGCTCCTGCAGCATATAGAGTAAGAAGCTGCCCAAAACCTACAGTCATTCCACGAAGCACTGGCTCTCCGGCGGTGGAAGCGGCAGCTTTTTATGCGACGAGTGGCAGCCTTGTGGATGTACACAGAGTTCTTCATGATCACAGGCATCTTGGCCTCCAGCTCAGCATTGCGGATGCACTCTTCAAAGAACTCTGTGAAGGGGAGAAGACATCACTGTGAACAGTGATGGGAGAGACACTTCAAGCGATGAGCCAGTCATAAGGCACTGCACATGCTAATGGGCTGAGTCAGGTAATGACATTCAAGACCTCCTTAGATCTTCATAAACAGCAGTCCATGAAGCTCCAGAATATCATCAGAATGAAAAAGTTAGTGACAAAACCTTCCAGTCCCCAGCAAGTACATATCCAAATTATAGAAAGAACTGCAACCATCTATTCCCCATACCACTCATGATTCAGCTTCTGTTATAATAAAACTTCTCAAATTTCTTGCAACAGAGGGGTCTGAAGCTTTGCTCACTGCACTTTTTTTGAAGGAATGCTGTGTGAAACCAAGCAAATCTAACTGCAGAAAGGGAGGTGTTGGCATACATGGCCAGGGATTTCTTAATAGCATAGCAAATACTGGCACTTACATACACACATTACAGGCTCCTTGCAAAGCCCCGCGTCCAAACTCTAACAATGTTACTCTGTCCTGATCTGGCCCAGAAGCTGCTTTTCCTGTTCCATTTCTGCTTGTATGGTCTAACTGGCATACCTTCTGACGTTCCAGTCTTGCTGTCCTCCTGCCTGTCGCTGATGCCCTGCTGTTCAGAGGGCTCATGCACTAATGAGCCCCAACTCTTACAGGAGAGAGCAGAGCAGAGCTTCGGGAATCACTTGGAAGGACTGAAGCAATCTGTGGTGGGACTGGCATTAAAATGCTGCTGGTCCCACACTTTCTCCAGTGTCTCACTCATGAGTACATTTTTACACTTTTGAAGAAAACATCCCCTAAACTTAAGACTGGAAATGAGTGTCAGGAGACACTCAGTGCCAGAAGTTACCCATTTATATCCTGCGCAGGTAGCTCAGCTCAAGACGAATGTTGAGCTGAACATGTCCACTTTAGCTCTGTTTTTTTTTTTTACCATGACTCTGAGTCAGTAGAATGAAGTTCAGAATCATGCCCTTTTGTCTTAGTTTAGAAAAATGATGTAGAAACTACTGAATAATACTTACTTTTCTACATATATCAATTATAAATATTGTATATAAACTATTTATACATGTATTTATACTTGTATATGTGATAGTGTTCAAAATGGCGTAGGCCTTTTTGACTCTTCTATATTGGCCCAATATATCCACCTTTTACTGAAACAAACCACAGATACATGATCTTCATAACAGCCTTCCCCTGAACTATACTTGAGGATGGAAAACAAGCAGGACTTCAACACAGTTGAAGCTGAAAGTGTCAATTCCCAAAGCTGACTCAAGCCAGATGCTAGGATCATGCCCCATCTTACCAGAAAAATAAACAAAACAAAAAGGCAAAGAAAGGGATAAGCTGTGAGGAGCTTTACACCTGACTGCAGTAATCTCAGCACAGCAGTGCTGGGCTGATGCTCTCTTTTAGCTCTGAGTAAGGATCCAGACCTCACCTGCTGGGTCACCTACCAGCACGTTGCTACAGCAACCACAGTCTTCCTTAGACTGATGATGTTCCCGTAACCAAGGCTGAGAAAAAATTATCCTGAGGGGAACTGGACCTAGCCAGTCTTCACAGGCCTGCCACAGTTTTCCTGTTTGACATTCTGGAACGCATTTGCTCATCTCTGCCCCTAGGTTTGTCTTCCACACAACAAGGAAGGCTGGGATAATTTTGCCCTCCTTTGATGGAGAAACACCAAGTGCTGGCATAGCATGTCCTGGCTTCTCAAAAGGAGGTGTGGTTGAGGTACAAGGGGTTGGGAGAGCACGTTATGTGCAGCTTCACTAACTTGGGAAGTTCTTTTTGTGTCTGGGAAGATGGTCAGAAATATTTCCTCTTTCAGAACTTGCTGATCAGTAGGATGATGGATGACTGACTTACTTCTCAAGTTACTGACATCTGCTTTCATCTTCTCCTCTTTCTCCTTGTTGCAATCCAGGGAATTTAAGCCTTGCTCCAAGCTCTGCAATGCTTCCTCAGCTTCTCTCAGTCTCTTCTCCAGATCCATGCGCACCTTCACCTCAGCCTGAGGAAGAGAGTGAGCATTGCTGAAAACCAGCTTGTGTCTCAATAACCACCCTGCTAACTCACAAGGTCTGTGAGGAGCCCCCCCAGCAAATGAAAATGAAAAGACAGCAGTCAGGAACACCAACAGAAATATTGTAAGACAACACAAAAGTTGTTCCTTGTGTCTTCAGACACAATCTGAAATTGAAATACACATTATTTTAGTAATTCTCCTTTGCTCTGACTTTCACTTTCACTGCTTCTCTCTCATTGTATGTGGAATCAGAGGTGGAATTTCAATATGTGAGTTCAAGTACTTGCAGCTGAGGAGGAGCAGGAAGACATCTTTCCAGCTGAGACAGACTTGAGATAAAGGCAATCAATTCCCACAAAGGGGTGCACAATGCTTAGTTTCAGGAAAATTTAGAAATAAAGGATCTTATCAGTAGTAACTTAGCAAATGAGAATAATTAATATAGTTCAGGTCAATGTAGCTTTAGTTTGGCCAAGTGGAAGGTTACAGCATAATAAAATCTTGGAAGTGAAGGAAAAAGAAGAATTGGAGGTAAGGGGGTTTGGACAAAATATTTGTAGCAGGAGGTTGAGTGTCAAACAGCCAATAATAAGTATAATCTTTACATTATTTAGATTAAAATATAATAGCACACTTTGTCCAATTACCTTTGTGTAAATTAAGGTATCTTCCATTACTGGGATAATGAAGGAGGGCTGGTACCTCACCTGCATTCCTCCGCTTTTGAACTCAGGTTCATGCAGATGTTCCTGGAGATTTAAAATCTTAAGATTGATTCCCTGAGCACAAGTGAGGAGGAGAGATTTCTGCTCAGTTCTGCAATGTCCATATAAGCATTTGTTTGAAATAATATTTATTCTAGATTGTGTCTACTTTCCTCTTTTACTTGTTTTTTCCTCCCCTCCATCTTTAGGTGATGTTTTCACAGGAGCAATTGAAAAGGCTTTTACTGAATGGGTTAATCAGGCCTTGGAATAAGAAAATAAACAGTAGTGCTACAAAGATACAACATGTCAACTTCACATGTTACCATGATATGAAGATTTGTGACCACAAAATGAAAACAATAAAACCAAGTCTCCCACTTGATAGGGGATAAACTGAAAGGGAAAATGAGAGGACTCTGGGCCCAGGGACAGCAATACGTAACATGCACAGGGGATACCTTGAGGTCTCTCTCTGTCTGCTGCTTCTCTGCAGTCAGCTCTGTGAGTGAGTTCTGTAATGCTTGTGACTGGGAAGAGTAAAACTCCCGCTCCTCCTCCAGTGCTCGGGACCTCTCCTCATTCTCCTTCATCCTGGTACATGGCACAGCAAAGGAAGATGACCATTCCCACCCCAGCACAACTCACAGGAAGGAAGGGGCTTAGTATTGTGATGGAGCATGCTTAACTACCTGGGGCTTAGTATTGTGATGGGGCATGCTTAACTACCTGGCTGCCCCGAGCAAAGGGGTGCTAACAGGAGCGCTGTCTGTGTTTCACTTTGGTAACACAGGCATTGCTGGAGAAAGCTGGGTGGACAGTTCATAGAATCATAGAATGGTTTGAGTTGGAAAGGACCTTAAGATCATCTAGTTCCAACCCCAGGGACACTTCACACTAAACCATGCCACCCAAGGCTCTGGCCAACCTGGCCTTGAACACTGCCAGGGATGGATGGATCTCTTCCTTGGGCAGCCTGTAAAGTTCTTGAATGGAACATTCTCAACCCCTAGACAAGGTCCAGAAGCACTAAACACTTCTTATGGACAAGTCCATGAACACCAGATGGATTCATATGCCTAAGTCCTGATCTGAAAGGAGCAGGCCCAAGCAGCAACAAGGAGTCCAACTGTCCTGCCTCACTCTTTTCTGTCTGAAGTGTTTATAATATCAACTCCTACCATGGGAACCAAGCAAGCTTCCAGACTTGTCTTGCTCTGGCAACTGAAAAGCACATCAGCAGACAGTCACAATATTTGGCAGCACTAAGCCTGAGCGGGGCACAAGTGTCCTCTTCCTTTTACTGAACCCAAGAATGTAAATTAAAAAGAATCTTGCTTCTCTGCAGGTCAGGATAAACAGGGAAACAGTGTTGATGTGACCCGAATTTTAAACCTGGAAATATTTCATTTTCTGATTGCCTCACACCTGCAAGGGGGAAAATTACCTCTTTTCCCACCACCCTCTTCACACTGGATTGTATCTTCTCCCACACCCCAGTCTCTGGCACCACCGTAAGATCCCCACTTCACCTCTTCTCTGCCAAGAGCTTCTCCTCCAGAAGCTGCTGCATCTTCTCTTCAATCTGTTGCAGGCTGCAATGCAGTCCCCAGATGGGGCTTTGCTCCTTCCTGGGGCTGGTTGGAGGTGGGAGATGGCTCTCATTTTCTTCCAGCATCTCCAGCATTTGCTGCTTTTCTAGGGATAGCTCCTTGAGGAAGGGCAGAGGTTGTGAGTATCAGCCAAGTCTAACATTTCTGCTCTTGTTCCTGCCAGGGTTTCCCTATTAAGTCCCTCCGTCCTTAAATACATGTGCTTCATTCAGGTTAAAAACAGGAATAACAAAATCTGATTTTCATTTTGGACCTCTCTTATGCGGAACAAGTGTCCACCATAGCCTTTGCTATGGAAGGGGATGAGAACTGACAGGCTGTTTTGACATGACCTGCTGTAAGAACCCAGCTCAGGAACTGGAGCCTTGTGCTTCCCTAGTGCATCACTGATGCAGGCAGCTTCTCTGCCTTCCCTCCTCAGCTTGCTCCTTAGTGTTAACTAGAGGCATCCACTGTGTGGTACTTCTAGGACATATCATGCTGCTTTCCTGTGAGGTGTCCAGTCTGGTGGGCAAAGAGGGCTTGAATGCTCCTTCCCTAGCTTTCCAGTTCTTTCATACCCATAACTGTGGGCAAGGAGATGAGCTCAAAGGAACATCAGCAACAGATTTTTGGACAAACTTGCATGATCTGACATGAACTTTTGGGGCTTCAGAAGGCAAACTGTGTGGAAATTTCATAAACCATATCTATTTAGAAAAGCCACTTTCCACCAAGAGTGATACTAAGGAAGGAAAGGGTTTAATACGTCAACACGGTTTCCTAAATTCCCATGTTGTACACGATTGCCTAGGAACCATGCTCTCTTCTGTGAACAAGAAATGTCTTTCTGCTGCTCCAAATTCCACCAGGACTTAGACAGTTGCAGTTAGTGTATATATATACACATGTATATATATAAAGAAGATATATATGTATTGTTACATATATGTCAGAACATTATCACAGATTTAAAGCCATGTTGGCTGGAAGGGACCATCCGGTAGCCTCTTGCCCAGCCTCCTGTTCAGAACTGGCATGTCAACACAGCAAGACCTGTTCACCTGTGGCTTTCTACAGTCAAGTGGTGAAAACCTTCCTACATGTAGGTTCTTTAGCCTCTCCTACCACTGGCCTCCCTCTGTGGTGAAAAGTCTCTCCCTACTCTGCAACCAAACTGCAATTTGTGGTTATTGTCCTACATCAAATCACTTGGTACTGGTGGGCTCTGCGTCAGTCATTCTTTTCTGCAGGGGATTTTGGCTTTCATATCATCTACCAAATGAATCTGTTCATCCACACAGGACTTAACTCTGGCACTAGTGCGTGTTAGATTCATTCCACAGGACAGCATTGCTTTCAGCCCTGGTCAGTTCTCATGGATCATCCCCAGAATGCTGTCACTCAGAGGGGAGAAGTGGCCACTCACCTCTAGAGTTTTCTGTAAGGACTGTGTCAGGCTTCGCAACACTTTCTTTTCTTCCTCCACTCCTTTAAGGGAGCGGGCTGTGAGCTCCAGCTCCCTAAAGAAGCAAAAAGGGTGACAGCTATTGCAGGGGAACACCAGCCCCACACACCACGCTCAGACAGCACAAACTGTGGATCTCTTAGTGCACAACCTGCGACCAGTGGTTGATACAGGCAGCCCCGGAGAGTCTGGAGCTTGCTAGGAATCATCACGGCTTGAACAAGCTACGGGCCTCCAGGAACTTTACTGTGCCTCCAGGTTGCAATGGGAAGAGCTCAGACATGGCAGTCATATCTAAACAGATATAGGTCTATGAAAATGAAAATGGTTTGCAAATTCATGCTGTCTTTTCTGACATGTTATTTAGGGAGAAAAAAGGGAATAAGAGCAATGGCAAAACATAGCCTTTCAAACACTCAGGGAAAAGCACTTGGATCCTTCCCTTTCTAAATACCTTCACTGTTCATATCTTGGCTAGCAAAACTATTAAAATTACAAAGTTATTCTTGGTGAGGCAACTTCATCATTCAGCTGACAGTGGAAAACCAGATTCAGATGTCTGGAGCCCACATGGCAGGACCCTTAATCAAAATAATTCCCTCTCTGAAATCCTTTAGGACCTGTCCATTGCCGTGCCACTCTGACTAACCTGGGGTTCATCCATGTCCCAGCCCTCTGAAAATGAAACTGCTGGAGCTCTGAATGCAAAATGAAGCTAAGGTGGATTCCATTGGTCACACAAGTGATAGTAAATGCAGGTAAATGGATCTCAACCATTCCTGGTTTGGTCAATACAGCATGTATAAAATAGGTGGATTTTGCAAACTGTTTGGATTCACCACCACAGCAGCACTTCTGCCCAGTGTGGGAATTCATGTCCTTTTCCTGCCCTGCCCTTTTCCACCTTACCGTCTAATCTGTTCCTGCTCCAGCCGCAGCTCCCGTACCACCTCTTCAAACTGGTGCTTCTCTGCTTCCAGCACCTGGTTCAGACGCTCAAGTTCCTGGACAGAAAGAGAAGGCAAGGAATGTACTCTGCTGACATGAATAAAATTAGGAAAGGCTTCCCTGCTACCAATGCCTGTGACTTTTAACCTGAGCTATGCAGAGCCACAGGGTGTCCAATTGACCACCCTTTCTTCCAGGAGCAGTTAGAATGGATTGAAGGTTGGTTGAGGATTTCCATACATCCAGAAGTCCCTGCCATGTTACCAGGCACCTGGAAGTCCTGGATATGCTCCCTGCACAGATCAGCTCTGCTGCAAAATACAGAGGGTCCAAAGCCCCCTGGGAAAGCTGGACTCAACATGCATGTACCATTTCCAGGCACCCACATGTACAGGTACAGAAAGCCTGGATACAGGAAAGCCTCAGCACTGCAGTGTCTGAAGTGTGATATTTCTACTATCTCAGCCTCCTTTCCCATCCCTGCTGGAATAGGAAAACACAAACTGCACAGTTACAGCTTTGCACAGTTTAATCAGCCCATCACTACCTCAGTGCTAATAAAATCACACTTAAAGAGCACCGAATACCACAAGCTATCCTCAAGCAGTGAAATAGCCTCTTACCCTAGTCTAGGGAGCAGCTTTACAGAGACCTACTGCAAATGAAGGGGCACAGGGACAAAGTACAGCGAGGGTCCTGGTCAGGTTCCCTTGCAGCCTTAGCTGTAGGCAGAACTCCTGCTGCAAGCCCAGGAAGGTCACAAAACACCACTGACACCAGGTAAGTCCATAATAAGACTCTTGCTTCATGACACAGATACATGGTTCAAGCTGCTTTCCTAACATCGTGCTTTGAAGCCTTCAGGCTCACAGCAAGTCACACCAGCGCAGCTCAGTGAGCTATATATTCATTCCTTCATCAGTACCAAACTCCTTCAGACTAACCTGGCACTATCTGATCTTTGTGGACAACAAAGGTACCATGCATGGCTTTGTAAGAGCAGAGATTTGTTCCAGGACCTTTAAACAAAGGCATTTTCCTCTCTATGGCCGTGAGTTGGCAGCAGACTACCTTTCCAGAAAGGGATGTCTCCCTGCAAAGGCAGAAGTAACTTAGCTCTAAAGAAGTGTCCAAGCCATCTTTGGACTTGATCTCTCCAGAAACATACACAGGAAAAACATAGGCCTGAGAAGCCTAGGTCAGCACTGCTGTCTTTTGCTAAAGAGGGGACACAGCCATTTTGGATTAACTGGAAAAGAGCATGCAGCAGTTTGGAATATTGCAATGTGGTGGTGGTTTACATCCATGCAGGCTTTACTACCATGTAATACGACAACCCACTTTCAAAGTTATTGTAAAATAACTTTATGATAGTGCTATAAAAACTGGTATAGGCGTAGTAAAAACATGAAAATGAACTGTTTTTATTATATTAAGCAAATACAAGTTATGACTAGTTTGGAAAACAATAAACTTGTTTAATTATGATGTAATAGTAACATCTAAGGGAGTGCTCTCTTGAGTTTTCCTCACTGCAATGTTTATTATTCTCCCCATCTCTTGAGTGTCCAGAGAACAAACGATGTTGCTTTTTGCTGCTGCTTGTTTCTCACAGAAGTATCTCTACACTAGAACAGTGTCAGGTCTGTTCATCTGCTTTCTAACTGTGGAGACAGACAAGTTGATTGCCAGTTGTCTTGAATCTGCCAAAAAACACGTGTATAATTCAATCCAGGGAATATTCATTTAATGCGCTCTTCTTCCCTTGTTCTCCTGAGACATGTATCACAAGAACACTGCATGGAAAGTGCCTGGGAAGGGCAGCAGGGATACACCTCCAGGACTGATCTCACGACACAGCTCTTACTCCCTTCTTTATGCACAGGACCCAGAGGTCGGCTGGAGACATTTTGTGGCTTCAAAGCCTCCCTCCCCAAACCCTGATATGCCTTCCAACCAACAACTCCCAGCCTCCCAGTCCTGCACACAGAAGTTGAAGGAAATTGGCTTGTGATGAACACTCACCTCTTTTTGCTCCCTCTGCAGGCACAGCTCTTCTGTTTCTTCCATTAGCTTATCTGCAAACACACACACAAAGGCCAAATGCAGAGAAAAGCAATTTATATTGTGGGAATATTTATGGGCTGAAAATGCAGTGTTCCCTATTGCTCTGTGTGTATCTGTCTGGGAGAATCCAAAGGGTGAGATGACAGTAATGGGATGTTCTGTAATTTCCACATTGCTAAATGACTTAATAAACTAAGCACCCATATTGCTGTGTACTCCTTCTAAGGTTTCCTCTCAGTGCTCTTAAAGAGCATTAAAGAACTAACCTCTGCAATCATCCAAGTCAGGAAATGCTCTTATCTCTTCTCTCACATAAGGAAGCAAATGCCCAGAAAGTAGGTGCAGAGTCACACACCAGAGTCACACACCACTGCATAGAGAGTCAGTTCTCCTGAAGCTCTGTGCCCCATCCCTACCCTCCTGGCACATCACCCTCTCCTTCAGGCACCTGCCAGCTCCCGTTTGTGATCTTGGCATGTCCCAGCCAAGCCCAGAAATCAATCCCCTAACTTAGCCACAAAACTCCTTAACCATTCTTAACTATTCTTGTTAATAATAGTTCCCCTCAACATCAGTTGCTCTTGTTTACTAAGGACACATGCCCACCTGGGACTCTGCCCTGATCCTTACACTGTGACCTGATGCACCTATGCTCTAACTGTAAACAGGCTCTGCCTTGGGCAGTTTTTAATCGTTACAGCTTTGTGGGGGGCAGTTGAGAGGTAACTTGGGGGATCCAGGGGATTTCCTGGAACAGTGTTTGCTTTCCCCAGAGAGCCTTGAGCTGCTGCCACGAGCAGCAGCTGACCTCAAAGCTTAACTACAGGATGCACACAGATCACTGAAGGTAAGGTTATTGAGGCAGAAGCCTCAGCAGTTATATAGGAATAAATAGACAATAGCTGTCAAGAGAAAGTAACCAACTGTGACAACTGACCAGCTCTGAATATTCTTGTCATGGACCAAAGAGCCCAGTGAAGTATGTATTTTATATTCCAAATGATCTCCTGTTTGCCACAGAAGGTGTACTCCTCTATTCTTCCATCGCCTTGTCTTGTACTGTGGCACCCTTCAGTTTCTTAGGCTTTTTAGTCTGCTCTGGTGTTTGCAAAATAATGTTTTGACAAAACTTTCCTGTTTCTAGCTTTCCTCCTATCTCTCCAGGTCCTCCTCACAGCACTCCCTGTTATCCCTTTGTCAGGTGTGGAACCTGCTTGCCTCATATATGAGGCCATACATCAGCTCACATGTGTGACTGGCACTTAGATGGCGAGAATGAACATGCCTTGGTACTTGAATTATGATCGCTGTTACATGTGAGACCACATACTGAGATCACCCCTGATCAGCATGAATGCAGAAATGCAGGTTTTTCAAGATCCCTCCAATGGCTTGATCATTAGGAGTAGATACCATGAATCCCTGCTCAAGGCATCACCAACCTGAGGCACTCAATATTGCTGCTAGATTGTTTAAAGCAGATGACTGTCCAGACAAGCCACTGAGTTCACGCATGTGACCAGCAGCCCCCAGGTCAGAAGGGCTCTTACACTTTGGGGAATGGTCTAACTTAGGAGTTGTCTCGGTTAAAAAGGCTACTCTCCCTTGGCTCTTGCTATGGGCAACATGGGGAAGAGACAGCTGGACTGCCCAATGCAATCAGAGTACCCAAGGTACTGCCATGCAGAGGCTGGTTTCCAAGTAGTGGATCGGACTACATAATGTTCAGAAGTCTCTTCCAACCTAAATTATTCTATGTTCATCTGAAGCAACTGCTCGCTCTCCATTGCCCATGGAGAGAGGAATGGCAAATTAGCCATTAACATTAGACACCTCAAACAAGCCCATGTAAAAGCTATCCCTTCCAATATGATCAATGTGAGCAAATGTAAAGACTGAGTAAGGCCAAAAAACCCCAAACATCTGGAGGAGGAAAACTCATGCATGAAAAGCTGTGATTAGCCTTAGAAATACCAGTCCTACGTGATTCAGGGAGACAAAGGTACTGGCTCTTTGCCTGATGAGCAGCTGAAATCAGCACATTCAAACTTCCCAGGGACAGCAAACATTTGTGCACTCCAGCCATTGGGAGCTGCAGGACTGCAGCATGCTGGCCAAAGCACGTTCCTTTCATGCTCCACACAGACGTCCAGATCCTACCTTTACATTTTCATGTTTTAACTCCCTTCAAACCTGAATTTCAGCTGCTGACTACTGCAAAGCTTCATCCAGTAAAAGGAAACCTGTAAATCCTTGGCTTGGCCACACTGACAACTCCAGAAAAGCAAAATGGCTATTTTTGGATTTATGGCTTTTGGAAGTAAGAGTTTCCTACCTAAGTATTCCTGCTTCTCCTTGGCAAGCTGCAGTCCTTGTGCTTCCAGGCTCTCAATCATAGCTTCTCCCAGCTGAGCATTCTTCCAGGTCCTAGGGAAAGCAGACGCAAAGCAGACAATGTAAGAGAGAACTAAGGGTCCCACAGAGCAAGGCAGAGGACTCAGCCTAGCAGTCTATCAAGACAGTGGCACTGTCTTGTGTAGCATTTCCAGTATTTTTCTGCTATAGCCACTCTTCCCCTTCAAACTGTTACTAACTGTTCATTGACTCCTTCACACAGTCTTCTACCTTCAGCCTTTCTGGTATTCATCATCCATCCTGGAACCAATCAATCCCTCCTCTGCCAAACTTGCAAGCCACTAGAATTTGGTGTCTAGCCCTACACCGTGTGTTAAGTGCCTTTCCCTGTAAAAACAATGAAGAACCTGAGATAAAAGCCTGACAAGACACTAGTAAGTAGGGAGAGTTAAAGGAAGCAGGCATATTCAAAGAGGACCCTGAATTATTGTAGGACTTTGGCCTAAGGATCTCAAGGTCGCGTCAACGTATTAGGAAACTAAGCTGCTAAAATGAGGCCTGTGGAGCAGAAGCCCGTTACTGATTGAGCTGATGGACCAGGTTTAATACAGATATTAAATAACAAGGACAAGGACACACAAATCAAAAACGGAACCAGAAATAGAGTTCACTGCTCACTTCTATTAATGTTCCATAGAAAACAAAATACCTAGACACATAAAATGCATACGTAAAATTCATCCCAATCTATTTATATAGACATACATACAGGAACAGGAATTGCTGCCCAGAAATTCTGCCATCTTCATTAAATCCTAAGGGAGCTTATTAATATTAAATACCTGTTAAGCATTCTGGTACCAGGCCTCTTTATGAACCATTTGAAATTACAGTTTTTCAGAACCTGTTAGGTTGGCAACCTCTTATAAAGCAGTGTCAAGGCAACCTGTACTTCATCTCTTACAAAAGCCAGACAATGACACTAAAAACACATTACCCCAAGGACTAGGCAGCTCACAGCTCCAGCAGCCCAAGCACTGCCTTGTGCTCTTTGCAGACAGCTGGGTTTCTTTTCAGCTAATGAGCATCTAGGATATTCAGAAGTGCAGAAGAAATTAGAATGCTAATTAAAAAGGTGATGTTTTGCCCACAGGTAGATATCTTCATCTTGAGTGAGAGCATGTGAGTGTGAATGTGTTTTTCCACTAATACTCTCTAATACAGGATGAATCTAACCCCAGAGAAATCAAGAGCAAACATCACAAGAGTGGGGTGGGGAGCATTACAGAGCTTATTTTATGATTATTGGGAAGGTTCCAAACCAGCTGCAGCCTTTAAGGTGTCTGTTTATTAGATTCACCTTTTCAGTGCAACCTCCCTTCCCCAGCCTAACAAGATGTTTCCCTGTTTGTAACTCAAAGGTTACTACACCCACTGCTGTATGACTCAGAAGATGCACTCATATCACTGTGTAGCATGTAAGCTTTTATTCCTTTTATCTGTTGGAACCATTACCAGTGTGTAACTGCAGCCACAGGGAGGTTCATGCCATGACTTCAACTGAGGGGAGAGCAATTTTGCATTTCTTACCAAGTGAGTTTCCATCAGAAAAAGCTGCACTGCTTAAGGTACTGGGAAGCACAGGGTCAGGAAGGCTCCTGGGACGAGTAGAAAGCACTCCTATAATATACTTGTGAAAACTACACCCCAAAGCTGTGTAGTAGCTCCATTTGCTCTTCAGCTCAAAGATCATTTATCCCATCCCTTTTGCAGCATTGGGAACATCTCCCTAGCTTTGCCTTCATTTTACCTTTCTCAAGAGCATTCACAATCAGGTATTTTTGTTCCATGGGACATACATACTATGTTACCTGTTTTGTTTTGTTTTTTTTTCCTCGTTGCCCACTTAAGTCTGCTTTCAACCAGTGCAGGGAATGCTGCTATGGACATAGAGAGTGTACATGTGCCCATGCCCCCTATGAGGAGCAGCAGAAGCCTCTCTGGGTGGGAAGAGAGCCCATTCAGCTGGCAGTCAAGGCTTTGGCATTTCTGAGAAGTTCTCCAAATCTGGCCAGTGTGGTAAGTCCAAGCACACCATGTCAGGAGGCTGAGGAGACCATCAGCTCTCCTGTGCACTGAGTAGGGGGTCTCCCTATCAAACCAGGAGGCTGGGAAAGGAGTGAGGAGCTGAAGAGATTGCTGGGCACATTGTGATGGTGGAGGTACTAGGCAGCTGTGCAGGCACACACACCACCCAGCCCGAGATGTAAAGAGGCAGCAGACAGAAATTGAAACAAAGGAGAGAGGAACCATATGCTTTCGATCCTCGGCACATTTTTTCTTCTTTCCCCTATTTACAAAATCTCAGTCTCTGGACTTGGTGTTTTCTGAGGGTGTTGGTTTTGCTTTTGTGTTGTTGGGGCTTTTTTTTTTTTCTTTGGTTGGTTTTATAATGAAGGAGCAGGATGATAAATTAAGTGCTGCAGTGCCACTGGCATTACAATCTCCATCTAGGAACAGCAGGACACTAAAACAGGTTGCCTAGAAGATCTCAGCTGTGTCCTTTTAGCTTTCCTGTTCATTGCAGATCAATTTACTGGCCCACGCTGTGCCTTTCTGGCTGCTGCTTAGCTCCCAGCCTGACCCCGCTAGCATAAATCACATAATCTCTGCTTTCCCTCACGCACAGGCTATCATCAGCACCAATTAGGCAGGCACTGGAGCTTCATCACTCTCCTCCTCTGATGAAAGAACAGAAGCAGAGAGGGAAGGGAAGGGGGTGTCTCAGGCAGATTGTCAGTTGGGTGCAGGTGGTCTGCTGTATGACAGGAGCCACAGTCTAGGTCTTTGTTTTAAACATTAGTACTGGAATATTGAAGCAAGGACTATATAAAATGCTGGCTCTGTGAAATAAGCAGGTACACATGACTTGTTTGTAAGACCTCTTCCTGCACTGTGCAGCCATATTCCTTCCCTCCCATACACTCCTGAAAGACTAATCTGGCCCCCAAATTACTCTCCTTGGCAATAGTTGAATATAACATTGGTGAAGGCAAGTGCAGACCTGTGCTATCAAAGAAACAACTCAAAATTGCTCTAGGGCTAAGTCTGTGTCCCTCCTCCTCTGCTGTGGCCAAGCCTGCTCCTGCTGAGTGGGTGACTGACCTCTGCCTTGGGTCTTTGTGTCCCATGGGGCACATGCTCCCATGAAGCTCTAATGACCAGCTTTGTATTTAAGGTTTATACAATACCATGGAGGTTACATCTTGCTCCAGCACCAAAGCCAGGCTCACTGCAGCAGCTCAGAGCTTGGCTTGGGCTGATCCACCATAACACTGTGCTCCCCATTAATTAGAAATGAACATTTTCAGCATCATAGCATTGGAATTAACTGAGATACTACCTTTGCCATGCACACATGCATGCATGCATACACTGGTATTAAAAGTTAACTTGCTTGAAAGAGCAGCTTTTGTCCCTACAGTCACAAGAGACCACACACAGACATTGCAGTGCTGCCAGGAAGGACAGACAAAAGTTCTCACTGCTTCAAACTTCATGGCTGGATAGTGGGTTCTGCAAGCTTCTGCCTTGCTTGGGAAAGTCAAGTCCCTCTTTAAGTGCAGTTTCTTCCTGCATCTGCTGAGATTTAGGAAGATCCTGCTTTGGGTTTGCAGGACAGCTGCTCCCTGCACTGTCAGACACCTGGGTACTGAGGGATTGCAGAGCTGATGGCCAACAAACTGCAGATCTCTCCAGTATTCTCAGCAGACTATGAACTCAGTGCTGTACACACACAGCAATCAAACTCTTCTCACCCCTGTAGGTGGGCTGGAAACGCTTTGCTAACACCTCCTTCCTGGGATCTAGCCTGCCTCCGCTGTTCACAATTAAACTGTCTCAAGAAACCAAATCCTGCTGCTGCATGGCCTGAGCTCCCTAGGACCTGAACAGAAGGAATGCGCACCCATGGTCACACAGTTGCTTCATGGCTGTCACTGACACCTCAGCATGACCAGGACAGCTAACGAGAACAGCGATGTGCCGGTGAGGTCACTGCTCACCAGTGAGGTGCAGAGCCACACAGAGAGCTGCTCACAAGCTTTGCACCTTGCCTGTTCTGCTCTTACCTTACCCCAAATTCATACACCTGCACCCAGGGAGGTTTTCTGACCCACAGCTTTGTCGAGCCTGTGGACCTTCCTTCCCACACAAAACGGTCTAGGGAGCTCCCACCTCTCTGAGCAAGACAGAGGGACAGCAGATGCCACCCGGTATATCAGTGTTCGAGATATGATGGCCTGGGGTTGGTAACAAAGAGCCATATTGCATACTACACCCAGGCAGGAAGATACGGGTCAATTTTAGAGCATTCTTGTGTAGGAAAGAATGAGTCCAGGAGGCAAGTGAAGGTCTTGCTAGTCTAGGGGAGCTTTTCTGCCTTCCCCATGGTCCTTCTAGTCAGGCTTCTTCCCCTTTATCCTTTACACATCTACAGAGCAGATCAAAGAGAATAAGGAATATAAAGAAGCTTACACTTTTCCAGACTCCTGTAGCATCTCCAGCCACTGAGCCTGCTCAAACTCTGATTCAGCTGCTAGAACAATGTTACCCTAGAAGAGGGGAGGGGAGGGGAAAAAAACCTGGATTAGAGAGGCTGGTGCCTTACACACCTCTGCACACCCAGGGCATGAACAGGACACAGGCAGCACAGCTACAGTGAGAGGAAAGCTCACTGCAGGCTTCCACCTCCATGGAGGCATCACATGGGAGCAAATATAACCCAGGTCTACCACACATTGGGAAGAGAAGTGAATGGCAAGCGGTCGTGGCAGGAATAAAACGGTAGGGCAATGTGAGCTCTAGGGCTCCTGAATATCTGTCTACTGGTTCTCTAGTATCATAAGACCTGCTGTCAGAAAGAGCAAGTTTCCTCACTGGTTGTCAAGACAAGAGCAGCAGCAAAGCTTTGAGGGGACTTGGGATGCTAAGCCACCCTCTCGCAGGGTAGTCTGCCTAGAGAGGGTATGATACCTTGGTGGAGTGCGAACGGCTACCAGTTCAGCTCTGCTCATCAGCAATAACCTGTTTTGTGGTGTTTATGGGTTTTTTTTAGAAGAAAAGAAGTTTACTTACGTGGAAGTCTTCATGAGAGATCTTTATGGCATAAGGCATGTTGGGCTCTTCTTTGGGCTCCACGACGCAGCCTCCCAATGGTATGACACCCTGGAGATAAACCAGAGTGCTCCAATCAGTCATCAAAATCAAGTATAGCCATTAACTAACTAGGAACTGAACTTTCACCCTTCTTCACTCGTGGGCCCCTGACCTGCCTTGCCTATCCCAGGAGGGACAATACACACAGCTCCTGAAAATCACAGGGACTCCCACCACCCTCAGGAGACCTCCAAGTAGTATCTGAACTGGGGTAAAGATGGCTCTGCTGCATAGGGCTGGAGGTAAGGCTGCTAGGTAGGACATGGAAAGGGGAGCTCTTATCAAGGAGGAGGTAATGGCCCAGCAGGGCCAGACATTGCAGATTCACAGCGTGGTGCCATGAGAGAAGCTGTGCATCCACTACAGTCACCACTAGTAGGTCAACACCCCACACATGCTGTATGGGGATGGATGGGTGCCCTGCTGCCCCTAACCAGGCTGGGTGAAATCTACACTTCTGGGAGCACAAGTGCTTCATCTGCCTCCAGCGACTGCAGAGGACAAAAGCAGACTCAGACCACACAGCCTCCTGATAGAGGCTGCTGCTCATGGCTGAGGGGTTAGCAGGGGATGGCTGTGACTGATCACGAGTGCAAGTACAAGTTAGGAGCAAGCAGCAACCAAAACTGACCCACCACTGGCTTTGCCAACAGCATTCTCATATCCACAAGATCGCTTGATTAGGGAAACAAGGGAATACATATACTATTAAGTAAAAAAACCATTGAAGCCATGCTGAATCACTGAGGAACCTAACGAGGTACTGACATGATTCCTGCATTTTTGGGGGCTTCTCTGAATCTGACTTACCTCTTCACTTGCTGGGCCTGTGGAGGGGGAGGAAGCTAGAAAGAGAATAACCCCCCTTTCCCAGGCAAACGCTGCTCACCTTGGGGTGGATATTGAAGTATTTATTGCTTTCAAAACTCTTCTTCTCACTCTCAGCATAGTAGAGGAGGAAACTTTCCTTAATGATGAAGAACCTTTAAGACAGAGAAAGGAAATAAACACTGCTAGAACAGTGGTCATGGTTCCACAGCACAAAAAAATCACCACGTATCTAACGCTGCTTTCTGAGCAGAAGAGTTTACTGTTCCCATCTATGCCTAAGGTGAGGTGCCTTACTTGGGCTTGTAGCCAAGAGCTAGTGCTTAACACCAAGTGCCAAGCTCAAGTGCTTTGTGCTTGCAGTTTGCCACAGCATGCACACAGAAACGTTTATTCACAGGGGAATGGGATGGTGGTCTGTGTCCAAGACAAAAGCAAAGCCAAAACCTTTTTGCATCTTGACCTGTACACATTTTATCTAGCCCATGTGTTGCATTCAACCTCTTGAGAGAAAACTGCTTCTTTTTTTAAGGGTCTCTCTCACATGGGCTAAGAGCAACTAACAGCCTATTATTTCAATCTATTCCCTGCCACCCTCTTCCCTCCCATTCTGCATAAGCCAGAAGGGAAGTCTTTCCACTGTAACTCTGAGTCTATGGCAGGGAGAGTCATAGATCTGCATCGTTAGGCAACTCAAGGCAAAAGATGAGCCACAAGAGTACTCAGGAGGAGGAATAAATTTTAGAGCTATTTTAATCAGAGCTCCTGGCAAAGTCTCCCCTCGTTGACCTTTGGAAATACAAAGTAAATCGATTTTTTTTCCCCTCACACACATCACATTTTAATGTGCCTTGTTCTGCTCAGCCTTACGTGTGCTCTGAGGAACACTACAGTAGCCACAAAACATCACAGCTTCTGTAAACCAAGTGGCTAATTTGCTGGAGTGTGTCCTCAAAATCGTGATTAAAGGAGTGCCACTTTCAGCTTATTTGCATGTCCAAAATGCCCCAGGGAGAGTCCCTCTTCTCTTTGAAAACTGAGGCTACATTTACCCTGCAGGCAGTGGTAGAGGGGGGAGATATCTTACTTGACTTAGCTTCAATTTGGTCTGAATCTCTATAGCTCTCAAAAATGCTGAAGAACAGCTGAAAAAAATGGGGACAAGTTTAGTACAGAAGTTTCAAAAGATTAACTGACAAAGGAAATATGTTGCACTGTTCCGTACGTGTTTTCTAATATGAGAAAAGAGGGATTTGGAAAGAAAGCGAAAGGCAGTAAGCTGAAAATTAATACAGAATGTCTTTTTACACTGCACAAAGCACTGCTGTGTAAATCACTTTCATGTGGTCCTGAGGACAAGAGCTCATGAGGAATCTGGAAAGGATAAAGCATTTCTGTGAACAATGAGAACAGCCCCAGAAAAACCTCCTGCTTCTGGGCAGAAAGCCTCTACTGGATGGGATCTGGAAGAGACTTCTCTGGGCAGAGCTTTCCAGTCGTGCAGCCTGAGGATTCCTGTGCCTCACCCTGAAGCCCCTGTTAGTGATGGGCTACTTGGCAAGAGGTCTGATCCATAAGAGCAGTTCTAATACCTCCGCATGCCCATCCCACCCCAGTCCTCTCTGGAAGCAGAGGACCTGTCAGATGAAGCCAAGCGCTGCCTCCAGGACAGATGAGCACCGCAATTTAGTACCAGTTTAGTTCCTAAAGCTAAAGAAAGAAGTGGAAGCTGGGGGAAAATTATAATTATAATACCAAAATAATATATATAATATAATTCATTATTAATAATAGTTCTTATTATTACACTGAGGGGAAAGCTCTACCACTTCCACCAGCTCCCATCTCTTGCTCTTCTGCCATGGCTCTGGTATAGAGGAAACTGCCAAATGCCATGGAAATACGAGCCATGGGCTCACAGGGGGACCAAAAGATAAACAAAGAACAAAGCGAAGCTTCTGAATGACTGCAGAAAGCTCAAGGCTCTCAAGCTCTGGACCTATTGTGCACTTGCTCCAAAACATTTAAGAGTGGCAGTGATTGAACTTGTGCTTATTTATATCCAGAAACGTTCAGAATGTACAAACACCAACAGCAACTATTGTGCCCCAAATTTTTTCTTCTCCTTGCCTACTTATCTATACGCATTCATGTTGACATCAGAGGTGGAGAGAAGCCACCAGCTTGCTTTCTCAGCAAGACACACCGTCTTCCCATTTGCTACTCCAAAAACATCATGGTTGACTGCCTAATCTCACCTCTTGCTCCTGACCACAACCTGGCAAAATCTCTCTAAACAGAGCAGTGCAAATCGGTGCAAAAATCACCCTTTTGCACTGAGCTCATTTAGTTGGCAGAGGACTGAAAAAGTGCTCATTCACAGTGCAGCGTGTCCAGCAAGTTACTTGACTAGGTAACTTGTCAGAGCACTTACTATTCACCTTTCACCCAGGGGACATCTCCCTTCCAGCCCAAGCTCATGTGCCACTGCACCTCCCAGAGGAGCTGCCTGTAACGTCCCCTCAGCTGGGAAAGCAACATGACCCTACCTGCGGTGGCTGTCCATACTCTCCCTGTAAGAGGTGCCTAAGATGGACAGGGAGATGGACTGCCCATGGGGCACTACTTTCTTTCCCTGTGATGGAAATCTCCATGCTAAATCTCTTGCCACTGTCACAAACCAGGGACCAGAACAGTTTCTTCAAGACAGTAGGCAGGGTTGGGAAGGAGCATCCCAGAGAAGGTGGGGGCTGAACTGATGACACAACTTTGAGGCACCAGCCCATTTAGCAGATGTATCAGGCACATCTCTGTGGGACACAGTGCTGAGAGGGTGCACTCATCAAGGTCTCACCTCAGTGTGAAACAAAGATTGGTACTTTCAGACATATTTGCTTTCATGGCAAAAGCAGCCATGGCCCCTGCAGCAGGCTCAGAGCTGACCCTGGCCAAGGCAGATATCAGAGAGACCTCCATAGAGCAGGCAGGTTTCTGGTTCCTCCTGTCTGCATCACTTGTGTGAGCAGCAGAAGCCTTCCTGTTTCATTTTTCTTCACACCTCTGATCATTAACTCCGTTAAAAAGTTTTCTTATGAGTAGCTGCATCTTCACTTTATGTTTCTAGTGCTCAGTTTAATGAGAATTTGATTTTTTAGAGGCACATGTTACCTCATCAGCATAATAAATACAGAAATAGTACCTTTTAAGATCAATTCTGCCTGGCCTGTGCTTGGTTCAGTGGATCAGAGTGAATCAGATACTGTGGCTATAAATACAAAACTAAAGTATAAAACTCAACACACCACATGAAATGGAGAAAGTCTTTTGGTCACTTTCAATAGTCTTTTCAGGCTGAACAACCTTGAGAAACATTTGCAAGACATAAAGATCTTTAACTATACGTGATTTCTAATCTGTTAACCCCGATTAAAGCCAGGCTTCAGTCTGTTACATATTTTTTGTCTTCTCAGTGCTCCCGATATCCCCATAGTATGCTCCAGTGGAAAATCAAAACAAAACCAAGAGTAAAGCCTAGCACAGATCTCTGAGAATTGATGAACCTCTTGCAGATTAATGAGCTTTTAGATCCCCAGTCTTACAGACGTGGAGAGAATCTGTGGGGATTTGGAATTAAAATGTACAAACTAAGAGTTAAAAATACAACAGCAAAACTCCACAGCAAATAATGAAAGAAAAAAAACACTGAAAAACTGGCTAGCTGATGAACAGTATGTGTTTATGATCAGAACTTATTCCCTCATCTATCCCTACCAGGAAGGCAGCACCCAAGCAACCAAGATCACTACTTTGACTTTCAGGACAACGTGTACATACAACAAGACAAGGAAATTGATGCAGCATGATGAAAAGAGGGATGAAGTGACAGAGTGAAGGAGGAAGAGGTACAAGACTCAAGGGCAAGTTGAAGATTGAAGCAGCAGCCAGGTGAGTAATAACAGAAAGAGAAAGGATGGCCAAGGGCAAATGGGGAGATGCAGCCAGTTAAGACAAGAGACACCGAACACACTTGAATTAGGCACAGATGTGCCAGCAGAATTAAAGGGAGTACTGGAGAGACAGGGGAAGCTTTCTGAGTAAAAGCAAGAAACCAAAAAAAGATACTTAAAAGCAAAGCAGCAAAAAGCCTAGAGAGCAGCAATGAAGATGGGAAGACCTGGTGCACACACTCCACATGCAGCTCAAGCAATACAGGAGCCATTCATGCATGGTCTGTTTCTTTGGGTCACCCATCTCCTGTCGCTAGATCCTGCACTAAGAAACCACTGAAACCACAGTGTAACGAAACTGAAATCAGCAGAGGAGCAGTAACAGTCTTGAGTAACTTGGATCTATAGCCAGAGGCGTGATCTGCCAGGATTAGGCAAAACAACTCCTTACTGGACAAGTAGAGATACCTGATCTCTGGGGACAAAGTGCTTGCTTTGTGTCACAGAGGACTAACAAGATTAACTAGATAATCTTCGTAAGAGTGTTTGAAGTGACAGCGGCCGGAGTTAAGTATTTACATTATAAAACTGCAGCAGTCTCACTGGTCCTTCCTTCCAATGGTGGTTTTCCGGGCACCGGTCCAGGAGCACAGGCAGCAAATCCCAGTTACTAGAGCAGCCCGGTTCTCTCTCCCTAGGGACAGCTCATGAAAACGATAGGCAAATGACTCTTTATCAGCATGTCAGCTCAGAGACCTCAGTACCTGTCTCTCATTGTTCCTCTCCTGACAGCTCCAGGCTTTCCTGTCTGCCTCCTGGCGCCTGGCAGCTGCAGAGGCAGGCAGCCAGGCAAGGAGCGGGAAGAGGTGGATGCTTCCTGACAGCAACCAGCCAAGTGGGAAGCTGAGAAGGGTAAGAGGGAAGCTTGACTCAGAGCACCGCTGCCTCAGCAGCTCCTGCTCCCCATGTGCTGCTCATGCACACACTGCTCTGCAGCCATGTGCTTTCTAGGTTTTTTTTCAGAGCAGAAAACAGTCCAAAACAGTTACCCTTTCCATCTGTCCTGTGACCACATCTACCGACTGTTGGTAACCAGTCTGCTGGAAAACAAGATTATGTGCCTGCTTTGCAGTGCCACAGCCAGGACTGGCCGCAGAGAAGATGAGATTTCTCTCAACTGTGCTGCATTTCCCTCCTTCCAGCAGTAACCTGGCATCTCTGATGGGTTTACTCAGAGGCAACAGCATATTTTGCAGTACTTTTTCTCCTTTCAATTCCCGATGCCCCACCTTGCTTTTTTGACTCTGACTGACCACTGGGCAGATGCCGTCCTGGAGCTGTTCCCCTTAGCTCCAGAGTCTCACACCTGAATGGTGACAGTCATCTTAGAACCTGACATGCCTATACAGAGCTGGGATTATTCACAGCAGAGAAAGATGTGTCACTTCCTACCTACAAAGGTACAGCGCCCTGTTCATGGAACATCCAGAGCAGGTTTGTACCTTGTGCATTTCATTCCATGCCAGGCTGATGCCAGTACCAGTGCGACTTTTGTATTTGAATTGACTAAACTGCTTGTTATAAACTCAAAGGAAGAATGGAATGCAGTTGGTGGAAAGAGGAGAACTGTAAATCAAGGGCCAAGAATATGCAGTGACCCAAGCTTTGACTGATCAAAGCTGCAAAATCCCCAGACCTGGGATTTCAATTTCCAAAGCACTGGACACCATGCCTGGACTTTTTTCCTTGATCCATTATCCAGTCAGGCTCCATCTTTCCCTTAAACACTCACTTTTTTTTTTTCTCTGTCTCCAGCAGCACTGCTGCTACAGCCAAATGAATGGGATCAAGCAGTAAGTATCATGCATCTCGGCAGCCACATCTTCATGGCTGATGGCCTGATGTGGTCAATCCTCCTGTTACATGCTGGTTTATTTCCCATTGCTTGGAAAGACTTTCCTTAGAACAAGGAGTAGTTCTATTGTTCAGTCCAAGACGTCAGGACAAAATCTATATTGCTCAGAGATCAGATCCTCAACTGCATCTAGAAACAGTCCATTTTTCCCTCTTAATTTAACTGGAGTGGGAAACTTCTCCTTTCCATGAAATAATGCACTGACCAGCTGTGTCTTGCTGGGCATGGGGGGGTAGGCCGGGGAATGGATGAATTGCTCCTTATTCTTCTTCACAAACAACTTATAATAACATGTAAGCTTTTTACTCAAAGAAAATCTCTCCTGTGGTAAAAAAAAAACCAACAAACTTATCGCTCCTCCTGTTCCAGTGGTTTTACTCCAGAAACTCCTTCCTTCCAAACCCTACAGACCCCCTGTGTTCATCTCCCACAGACCCATCTCTGGTCTCCAGGCCCCACAGCTGCTGTGCTAGCAGCTAACCATCCACATCATTCTTGCCCCATGGTCTCTTCCCACCTGCTAGCACTAAAATATTTACCACCTGATGAAGATAGGGGTGACTTCTAGGAATAGAACAGCACTAAATAAATAATGATAGAGAGAGCAGACACAAGCCATTTGCCTGCAAGAAATTTTTATTAGGAAGAAGAAAGCCTTTTAAGAATGTCTCCTCCATAGCAAATTACCTTCCCCTCCTTTAGTCTGTCCACTTGTTTTCCGTAACCCAGCCGCATTAGCTTCCAGACATAATTCATTTAAATATCAGTGTTTGGGAGCTGAGTAGGGAGCACAAATTCCGTCTGGGGTGAAAAAGTCCACTGTGGGGGGAAGTACAGAATAAAACCTGCACACAAGTCAAAGGTGGCTACAAACACAAAACTGCTTCCCAAACGACATTTGACTATTTTTCAGGCTATGCCATCTTCATAGGTTCAGACTGGACAGCACTGTCGTTATTACACAGAGCAAAACTGGGAAAGATAGGGCTAGAAATGGATTTGGTGTGTTTACTATGCAGCCTACAGCAAAAAGGTGCCCACCAAAGGTTAAGTACAAGAGGCAGCCGACAGACATTGCTCATGTGCAGGTTCATTTATTCTTCAAAAAAGCCTTGAGACACTCTTTACTGCCAAGGCTACAAAACTGCCTTTCAGGTCCAGAAGTAGCTCAGGCTTCCTGTGCTGTCATTTGTTAATGACTCATTTGTGCCTTTCCCCAGTGGAAAGGTGAGGAGGGGGGGAAAAACAACATTACTTTGCTTTTATCACAGCCTTTTTCATCTGCAGATATCAAACTGCTGAAGGTGGGTAAGTACTGTTATCCTTGTTTAATAGATCATGACAACAAGTTCTGGGTCACAAAACTCATCTCTGGCAGTGGTAGCGTGAAAATGGAAGTTCTTGGCTGCTAGTCTTTTAACTGAATCATTTGCCAATGATGTCTACCAGCAGTGACATTAATCTGCCATCAAGGAATGCTGGAAGGCTTACTCCATTGGATCGTGTACTTCCATAAAGAGCCGTACCATGTTTCTGTGTGAGTACCATCCATAAACAGTCATCTCTCACGTTTTGATAGCCAATGGAAAACTCTCCCATGAGATTCAGTGATTTGAACAAGCTACACCAACTTTAACCTCAAAGCGACCCACCATTTCACCATTACAGAACATACCTCCATCCTCAGTAAAAGGTTATAGCAAATGCTTTCCAGCTCCAAACCTCCTGATTCTGAGAGATAACATGCAGCAGCTTACAACTCCCTAACACCAGATGGGAGAGAATTTGGAGCCGCCTTCTCCACAGGGAAGTGAGTCTGCTTTTGCTGTTCCAAGCATGCCATCACCATCGGACAGCACAGCAATACTGACACTGGTCCACAAGCCCCAGCACACTGTACACATGCACATACAGTCCCACATGCACTGTCAGTTCATCCTAGCCATCTCACACCCAAAGGACTCAAACAGCTTTAACAAGTGCTAGTGAAAAAAGTCAAGCAGTTTGGGGGCAAAATACATGAGCTGACCCTTTTTCTCACTGAACAATCATAAGTATCTAGAGGAGGCAGCTAATCCCTATTCCACCCCAAGCTGCATGCAGCACAGGGTCTGGGCAGATAAAGAAAAGCACAATGGGGTGCCATGTGTGAAAAGCATCAGAAAAGCAGGGAAGCTATGCCTGAAGTTTCACCCCTAGTCTCTGCCTGGCTAACTGCACTTGAAGAGCCAAGCACTCAGGCTCTAACTTACCGCAATGCCCTTCGGCTTTGTTTTTCACCTGAGCATCCCTCAGCAACTGTGGCTTACCTCCTGGACCATTTGGCCGATTGCCTCCCAAAGGGTCTCTTCCAGAGCACACCGTAAAGCTGCACTTTGGTGCTGATGTCCAGAGCATCGGAATCTGTCTGCTCCATGGATGGAGAAGGGGATACAGAACTGGATTTTGAAGCAAACATCATAGATGGATCTGATTCTAACTCTCCCCCTCTGCGTGGCAGCTCAGGGAATCCGATTAAATGCAGTGAACCAGAAGGACGTAACCAGCCACTCCAAGAGGCAGACGGAGAGACCGGGCTATGGTTTGAATCAATAACTTGACTGCTCAGCACTCAGTCAGTAAATCTCCCCCTGATGCACAGATGATGAGAGTTTCCTCATTGTGTATTACTTCCTGATGCACTGCAGACAGCACACATCCCAGCCCAAGGAAAAAAGAAAAGGAGCGAAGAGCCAGAGATCAGGAACACAGAGAAGCAGAGAGAGCTCAGAGAGAAAGCTCCTAGCAATAGCATAAAGCAAAATACCTCTGCACTAGAGCCAGCTTGGAAGGTTATTTCACTTGACATTGCAGTATCCCAGGCAGAAATCAGGGCGAGCTGGAAGTTTTACTGTCAGGCATCTCTTACTCTGACATGTACCCTCAAAATCTTGCACTGGGAGACAGGTTCTTCTCATTTGTCCCAAGGAAAAGGGGGGCAGACAGGGTGGGAGCCAACAATTTCTATCAGATTCCCTTTGCCATTGGGAAGCTCTTTCTGTGCCAGCCTAGCACTGCCCATCACACACAGTTCACGTGGCTGCTGGGCTCAGCTGGGCAGTGTCCATGCTGCACGTCCTGCTCAGCCTTAAAGGGCCATTGCTGATCAAACCTAGAACATAGAATTCTGCCTGCCTCCATGCCTTGCTGCATCTTGGAGATGTGGCAAGCACAGTCTCTGCCCTGCTTCTTTGGTACAAGCTCCTTCTTGGCCATAGAACAAGGACATAGGAATATGTCACACAGCTCACATAAGTCTCCATTCATCTGCTGTTTAGTACTCCCACTGCGAGCTTTTTATTCTGGTTCCTTAGGTCCTTGCTCCTCTCTTGAAACCATCCATCCCTGCAGAAATACAAACAGTCCTCCAAAAGAACCCATTTTTTCTAATGCCCACAGGAAGGTACATTGGCATCAGATCGTTCCTTCCTGCACACTGCCTTCCATCCATGATTAGGATATGGGGAAAAACTGCCTTCATTGTACCTGGTAGAGCATCTGGAGTTTTGGGGTATTATATAACCAATAAAGACGCATGCTGTGAAGCATCTGCTTGTGTTTTAACCTGTGCCATCCTGCATGTATCGATTTTGATGCTGTACTTGCTAACTGTCAGCTCTTCCCAATGCAGTTATTCAGAAGTGACACAGTGCAGCCACACAGTCCTTTCTTATTCCTGGAGATCAGAAGCCTGGGAACTTGCCACAGGCTAGATCACAGCACAGGACATAGGTTCACTTCATTTTGTATGGTCACAGGCACTTGCAAAGCATCTTAAATAGAGGAAACGCAGACAGCCTGCCTCAAGCTCACAGGCTGCATTTGGTATTAGAGAGATTATAGATGCAGGTCCCTGATAAAAGTCACTATTGATTGCTAGATTGGAGAGTCAGCAAACTCAGTGCTTTGTTACTTAACTATTACCCTGGCTTTGACTGGCCTTTGGTCCCAGACAGGATATGTCCTGAGCAGCATCAAAGCCCATCTCAGGGTGACATTAAGGGGGAGGGTGAAGAGGGGAGAGCAGCAGATACTGCCTCCATCTCACCTGAGCCCCAACTTTTGAACACAGTTGCAGAAGAGAAGAAGCATTAATGCTGTAGCGACCATTCAACATACTGCACTGAGAAGAAAATACTAATCATAGCCAGGAGAGGGAAAAGTTCCCTGGAGTTATCTGTCTTGCACAAAGGATAACAAGGATTCTGGGCCCAAGAGTATCACCTTAATTTATAAATGTGCAGTGAAAAACCACAGAGCTCCTGTATAGAATGATCCGGTGCCCCTGCCATTGTAGTGCATCAGTGATTCAAAGATCTGATTGCAGTGACCTGCAGTGAGGAAAAGCAGATTCTTTTCTTTGATTCTTTACTTCTTTTTATCCTGTGCAGACCAAGAGAAAAGAGAGGTCTTTATCTCACGTTTTTTTAATGTTCAAAGGTATTGTTTCCTCTGGAGACCTCTAGGACAAGCAAGGGACCTTGCTTTTACAGCAAATTCTTTAGAATGGGCAGCTCCAGGGGAGGGAAAGAGCAACTTGCTCTTGTCGAGTGAGTGACCAGGAGTTAAACATAGCAGGAGCCAGCAATGTTAGGGCAATAAGCAGCAGCGGGGTGAATTTTGTAACTGGACAAAGTAATTTGTAATAACAGTGGTTATGTTAAAATTTCCTTTATGTGTGTAAATAAACCGGAAGCCTGTCTGAGGGAAAGAGCAGGAGAGCAGCACAGCAGGTCTAAGCAATTTGCCTCTCACACACAGAAGGTAACGGCACTAAGAGCCAGCTGAAAGGTTCTTCAATGTTACTTCTGCCAGATGCAAAACTTCCTTCAATGGCCAGAAATTTCAGGATCAAGAAAAGTGTCACAAATGCATCCAGGAGAAAAGGGTCCACCACAGGGTGGGGAGGGTTCTGCAGAAGTGCCTACTCTGAATTCTCTGGGAAAAAAGAAATCCTTAGGAAAGCACAAGCAGACTTGGTGAAGCTCTGGTGAAACCTAGCAGCCCAAAAGCACAAAGACATTTATACAGAGATAATCAATTAGTATTTAACCTGCAATCTTATTTAATAAGAACAGAGGAAGGAGACCTGAGTATACAAGACCTTAGTAGGACAATCCTGTGTCACCAGTGCAAAAAGAAAAGTGCAGTTGTGGTCTACATTAGCAGTGAAGGCAGACATAAACTCTTGTACCAGACTCACATGCGATCCCTTCTGTACAGTTCTGGCCAAACCGATTCCCTGGCCCTGAAGAGATGCAGAAAAGGACTCAAGGGATGACCACAGGTATAGCTAATCCATAGTATGGCAGGACACTAAAAGGATTTCACTTGTTTAAATGAGACCAAAGGGGAAAATCTGACTGCTGTCTAGTTTCAGGCACTCTTTCCCCTCTTAATGTATTGGTAAAGGTTGATGCTTCCAAAAAAACAAATTGGCCTAAATTGGCCATGAATAAATGAGAAGCTGTGTAACCACCACAGGGAGAGAGTTGTGGAATTGCCTTGCAATGAGAGCAGCAGAGGAGAAAAGGCATTACTTGGTTGGATCTATTACATGCACAGCAACCTGAGGTGGCCAAACTTCCAAGTATACGGATTAAGCTCACCTGCTTTCTTCAAAACATTTTTTGTTCCAGAATAATAAAGATTTTACATGGATGTCATTCATGATGGCTTGTAAGGGAAGCAGAGCTGTACACGCTGGAGAGAAAACACTGGAGCTTTACTCAGAAAACCTTCCTGCAGAGGGACAGGTTGTACTGATACGGGAATTATTTTGCTAATGTGCTGTCCCTATTTTTCCTACATATCAGGCCAAAAAAATTTTGCTCAAAATAACCTTCGAAGCAGCAGGCAGTACAAGGTACTACAGAAGTAACGCTCCATCATCACAGGCCACCCACCAGCTGGAAGATGCCACTTTTCAGTTTAAGCATACACATATGGCTAACTGCAGCTGAGGAGAAGGCATGTATTTGTGGGGTTTCCTTTAAGTGAAAAGTTATACCTTTATGTTCTGGGCAGCCTTACAGTAGTACTTTATAGTAGAACAATGTGGAGAAATAAAAAGAATTTCCAGCTCAGGTTTCGGTTATGATATATCATTCTTGTGCAGATAAAATATCATACGTACCTATAAAAATGATGCTCCAGGTTCCCAGATGTACAGTTGTGTGCAGATGCTGTTTTAAATAGAACAAAGGCAACCACCATCAATCCATGTCTGCTGTGATAGATTGACAGTTTCTTTTACATATGATTAAATTTTTAGTATCAGATGGGAATTCAGAGCTGTCCTGCAGAGCTCAAAGAAAAGCTATTCAGCAAACAGGCATTAAAGAGCCTTTGTAGATATATAACCCCATCTGACATCATCCCTTGGTAGGAATCACATGCTCCTAGCATCCCATTCCAGACAAAGCCCTCCACCAGCTCCCAGACCTTCAAATCCACTCAGATCCATGCTGGATGGCCCATGAGTCATATTAATCAAACTATAGCTGTGGATATAGCACCTCCTCAGGAGACTTACAGGAAAACAGAAAATAAATTGTCAGTTTACTGAAGCAAAAGGATCTGATAGCATGCAGACTTGTGGACAGTAAACGCTCAGAGCCTGGCTTTTGGGGGTTTGCTTGATCAGGGGCTGACACCATAGCCAACGATCATTTCTCTCAGCATATAAAGGAGATAATTTTTGGGAGGAGGGGGGTTAATCCTACTAAGAGCTCTCTTCTGGAACAAGACTCATTCATTATTCATTCTGGGATTTTGCTGGTGCTGGTTTGGGCTTTTCTGTGTTTGGGTTTTTTTTTGGGGGGTGTTTCTTTGGTTTGTTTTGGGGATTTTTTTTGTAGGGGTTTTGTTTGGTTGGGGTTTTTGTTTTGTTTTTTAAGGTTTCTCCTCAACAGCCGTTTTTAGGGACTTTAGAATACACCAGAGTGGTCAGAATACACCAGAGTGGTCAGCTACATTTGAAAAAGCTTCCTCCAGAAGCTAGTCCATAGGCTTCCAGCAACACACCATTTTTCCCCCTCATCACGCCTAAAAGACATGAAGTGATCACACAGCTTACACGAATTCTGGAATAGTGAAATAGGCTGTTTCCAACCAACAGCCTCTTCAAGAGCAGTAAATAAATACAGCTCTACCTGCTTGCTTTGTTTCTGTCTTTAGATTCTGAACCCACCAGCACATGCTCCCTTCCCTTCCTGCGTGTCCATGGTGACTGGTACCCAATCAGCCACGCTGCTCCTGAGGCTGCGGTGGCCATAGCGGCCATGGGAGCACTCCTCCTCACTGGGAGCTGCTGAATCTGTGCACAGGGATGGGGAAGAGCAAACCTTTCCCCAAAGAGGTTTTATAACAATGTTCAGAGCTGCTTAGCATGCACACCAGCTGCATTTCTACCTTTCCTATAGTATTTCATTTTACCTGTGCCTTACCTGCTTGCGATCAACATTATTCAGCCTTATCTCAAAGGTGACAGCAGATTGTTACCAAGGACATGGTTTGACTAGGTGACACAGCTCAGCAGTGATGGCTTAGCCAGCTCTGCTGGCAGCCTCCTGCACAGAAAACACTGAAGTCAAGTCAAGGACTACTTACGACACACACAAGTAGTACAGGCTACATAGATGCCAGTGCAGCACTTTTGAAGGATTTCCTTACCCTTTGCACCCTGTGGTACCATGACACAAGATCTAGCAAGTAGATCAGAGACCAGGTTTAGAGCAGTTATTCTGGGGGACAGAGCAATGTTTCAAGGTGCAATTGCTTACTTAGTTCTATTAATTTTGAGGACAGAAGAAGTGCTGCCTTTGTAACAAGGGCACGGAAGCAGAATTCAGTACACTGGGGCTTAGTGTCCAGCCTGGCAATGCCCCTACCCAACTGAAGTATGTACCTTTGTTAGAAAAGGGTGACGTTTTTACAATAAAATAATCATATAAAATAGTAAAATGATTATATTTGAGAAATTTATAAATCAATAGTGAGGCTTTGCATATTAGAAGATGTTGTAACTTTGCCGTTTTGTATCATAGTTACTCTATAACTAAAAGTTACAATGGTAGTCTTGGTAGCAAGAGCTAACATAACTATATATGGTGAGGGGAGTATGGGTGTATTTAGGGGAGTATGTATTGTAAAACTCTACCCAAGCAGAACCTAAGTTTAAGATCGCCAAAAGGACATACCAGAGGCAGTCAAGGGAAGATAAGAAAATGCTAGTGCCCACACAATGGCTGGGACACGTATCCAAAGAACAGAAAGGTGAAAAGGACAAGCCGAGGAAGTCTCCTTACTTCATCCGAGGAAGACTCCTTACTTCATCAGGGCGACCACCAGAGGGGGCTGCGCAAGCGCAAAAGAGGCTGATGCCGTAATAGACTGATATAGCAATCCTTGATGCATATGTATTAGTCAATGATGTAATCTGTGTTGAATATGTATTAGTTACGAAATTTTTAGTGTATAAATTGAGAACGCGATGTGACAAGGGCGAAGCCAGATTTGGGCGCGAGCCCCTGGTTTCCCAGCGCTGCAGTACAGCACCTCACATAACCATTCCGGTGGTTATGTGCCAGTTCTTACACTAACACCTTGATTTCTCTCACCCACCATTCCTCACCTCTGACACTGGTACTAAATCCAGAATATCACAAGAATACCCACATGCATGCAGCAGTTTGGGTACAGTGGCCAGCCAAAAAAAAGAAATCTGCAAAAAGAAGAATTTGTTAGTTTCCCTGGCAGAATAATGGAGTGGGAAAACATAATAGCTCTGCATGTTAACACAGGGAAACAACTGGCGCACCATCAACATTTTTAAGATCTGACATAACAGTCCAGCAAGAAGTAAATGAGAGCCAAGGCTACTGTCTGCCCACTGGAGATGCACACTCCTTAGCCGTTTTGACATCACTCAGTAGATCTTCATTCAGTAGTGGAAGCTGCAGAGACCAAGTCATGTTCATGTGAAGCTTCTGCACAAAAGCAGAGTTTCATTCAAGACCAGCGGTCCCTCAGTTTCTCTGTCAAAAGAGAAACAGAACATGGGTTACTCATTGCAGTCATAAAACATGACTTGCTCTACTTAGAGCTTCAAATTCTGGAGGCAAACAAGAAAAGCTTTGACTAAGAGGTACAGTAAGGCTAGGTGTACGATACTAGCAAGGTTCTAAGCAGTGTTTTTAGCAATCCTCTTCAGCCCAGTAGAACCACAAGTATCTAATTTAACATGTTCCTTCAGACAGCAGAAGCCCATTAACTTCTGCAGACTCCAACATAAATGTAATCATATAATTACCAGCATTTTCCCCTTTCTAAGAATTTCACCTCTGCTTTTAGACTTTCTAAATACTGTGTACCTTTGGTGTCAGTCAGCATAATACAGCTTATTTTTAATTAGCTCTACAAGCTTCCTGAATGAGGCATTTTCCCATCCATTTTTTCCATCCACGGAAAAGGCTTGTTAATCTCTAGACAGCTCAGACAAGAGGGAGAAGTGCTGTGATAAGGAGGGTGGAATGTTGTGCAATTCTGCCTGCAGGGATACTTGGGTAAGGCTTGCAGTAGAAGAATGGCTTAATTTGTAAGCTAGAACAATAGATGACAGCTCAACCTCTTGCAGCTGCGCTCATCCCTAATGAGTACGATAAAAATGCTGATGATTTTTTTTCCTTAACAAATGAAGGAACACTCTACAGCCATCACCAGGAAGCCTGAACCACTACAACGCCTTGCTCTTTAGGTTTTTAGTGGTAACTTTTGTAATATAAATGCACTGAAATCACTTCCTCACATCTCCAAAAGGATTTACTACAGATTACAGTGGTTAAGTCTCCAGTTACTGAGCTGACACTTTTATTAAACACATTGAAAAAAAATGTTAATATACGGCATAATGCTTCATCATGAAAGCTGAATTTTACTTGCCTAAAAACCAAGAGCCTATCTGGGAAAATACCACCTTCCCATCCTTGCTTTCTTGCATCTGCCTGTACTACCTATAACAGCAACACTCTCATTTGTTTCAGTTCTCCTACTGACTTTACATTAATTGCATTCTCTTGAGATTAAGACAGCATACAGAAATATTACACTTTTCCTAATCAGAAAATAAAAAGCTATTAGCTGAAAAGGCTGCTTATCGCTTGAGTGAAGTAGCTAAAACACCGTGTGACACTGCAAACCTTAAAAAGCCTGAAATGTCTTACATTAAACTTTTTTTTTTCCAACCAAATAAAGTACCCTACAACTGTCCCCACATGTTTTTGCTCAGATAACAGAATTCATTTCCAAACCTCTCCTTATATGCCCTGCCTGAGCACCTCTTCGAAATCACTACTAAAATTTAATTTCCAACTATTTTTTGAAATTTAAAGTTATGTCTGAGGCAAATAAAACCCTTCCAGGGAAATTCAGGAGCCTGAGAAGACAACTGTTCTTCACAGCAAGAACACAATCCACTTTCAGTTACAATGACTACCACGAGGAGCATTAGAGAGAACATTTAGGTAACTATGGCTTAACAAAGGCTTTCATTTCATTGTATACCACCGGAAGAAGGTAAACTGCCTTACAGGAAAAACTGTCAATAGTAAAGGGTGAGAGCAGCTCTGGAGAGCTGTGAACAGGTAAGCAGTAGGATCGCAGGGCAGCCAAAAGGAAACCTGAGCTGTGATTCAGTGCCTGAAAAGAGCAGAAAGATGGATGGGGAAAATACAAAAACCCACCAAAACCACACAGAACAGGAGCATGAAAGATTTTACCAACAGTTTTTCCCCTTAACATAAGGACAAGAAGCAGGCTAAGGTTTTTTTCACATCTTCCCATGCATATTTCCCATACAGGAAAAGCTGCTTTGTCACAAAGTTTCCAAAAAGAATGGAGGGTTGTAGTGTTTGCATTTTGGGCTTGGTGCTGACAAGGTTTGTTTTCACTCTATACTGGGCTCTCAATTTTGTTTAGCCCATGGTGTCCTCCAGTTTAAAAGTGGCCTGGAGCAATCTTGAGCCTGTCATCTCATCCTGGCCCTCCAAAGAGGTCCCCGCCTTGCAAGCTTCAGAGATCTCCCTGGGGGGTGGAAGAGGTAGCTCCAGGGCAATGCCAACTCCTGAACACTCTGTGGGAGACAGAAACTGTCAAATTATTTCTGTATTTATAACTCTAAACCCATTCGTCCAAACCAACCTGCTAGACTGCCTCCCAACATCTCCCAGCAGTTTCACACTTCAGGCTTCCAGGAGACACTCAGATGTTGTGAAGTAGCAAACATTCAAACAAAATGTACTGCCTGTATTGCGCACACCCCATTGAAGATTGTCACTGTTCTGTGATGGAGCTGTCACAAAACCCCATGCAATAAATGACAAGCCAACTCCAAAGCACTGCACCTAGTAAAAATTTAATATAATAAAACAAATTGAAAATGGCAACATTATTTTAACCGTTCACAATTAAAGTGGAAAAATCATAAGGCAGCCATTCATGGAATGATTTTGTGTACAAATGGTTCTGAAAAAGAGATATTAAAATCACAGTTCCATACATGGAGTCAGGTAAACAGCTATGACCAAGCAATGTTTTCCCCTAGAAAGCCAGGGCCGTTAAGGGATGTAATAAAAGGACAGTAAGAAAAAAGAAATACTTTATTTTTAAAAGAGGTGAACAGGAATCTGAAATTCAGCATATACTTCCCCACCATACAGCAACCATTCCTTCCCCCACCACCCCCGAAAGAATATAAATACATTTCCTTCCTCTTCTTCCCAAGTCCCAGCACAGAACGGGATGGGAGCGGGAACAGCAGCACCATTTATTCCACAGCATCTCTCTCATTCTGCATACAGCTGATATCACAAGGGTACACCTGCTACCGTCAAAAGCTCCTTGAAGGCTCTGAACTAGTTCCTGAAAAACACTGCAGTTTTCCCGGGTCTCTTGGATAGCATTAGCCTTTTACACAGTCCACCTGGAAACAGATATTTGAAGTCAACAGTGGGTTCTCTGTTTAACACCCAGTCATTTGACATGCCACAACTATGAAGAATTCCTATCCTGGTGTGACAGCTCTGCCACCCTCACTGAAGTTAATGTTAGTGCAGCTTCTGCATCTATCATCAGATGCTGAAAGAGTATATTTCCCTTCTTTATGTAAGGAGCAATAGAAGAATTAGAACAGTAAGGAAAGTAGCTGAACACAACAGGACCAACAAAGAGCTTTAATCTAATTCCTATCATCAAATAAGAATCATTAACAGAAAATACAGCTGATTTCCTAGAGGAATTTACAGAAGGAAATGCACTTTGTTAAAGTGCTAGACTTGCTGCCACCTACCTCACAGCAGAGAACATGGGCAAAGATGGTTATTACAGAGAGTAAGAGGAATTTGTTTGGACCAAGGTCCCCTGAGTAGAAAATGATACCAGATGGCACTGACTACATGTAGCGCCTGGATTTACTGTGACAGATGGTGAAAAAAGTAAAAACATAGCTATGATAAAATGGACCATTTTATTTAACTCCTTAAAATACTCTGCTTCAAGAAAATAATCCTCTATGTGGAACTAGCAATTTGGAATACTTTGATCATTTAAAATTTTACGTTCTCCTTATCACATAACCAAAAGCTTCCTTAGTCACTGCAGTTTCAGCTACAGAATTGAAAATAGTAGTTCAACACAGGGATAACAGAGGCAGCCAAAAGAAAATGCTATTGCTGCTTCTAAATGGGTAGGAAAAAATAGAAGTCTTCTACCACTTAACAAAGTTCCAAAATGAAAAGTACGCATTATCAGAATTTTTGTGCCAATTTTAAAGTGCCAATGTTTTAATTTAAAATCTCTCACCTCTGCTGTAACTCAGCCTCTCTAGTTCATGAATCATTAAACTGAATATTACCCCTTCTGGTGGCTGCCCCACAAATTGGGAATAGGATCTGGGGGCCAGGTGAAAAGAAAGACAAGAAGACCTCTCAGCAGCAGCACCTCCGATGATTAATACTCCAGAAGTTACATCAGAGTGAAAAGGCTGGCTGCCACATCCTCATCAGTGCACACTGATGCTTGTAAGAAGGTACTATCGACATTCTCCAACACTGGAGCAAAAAGGCATAAAATGAGACCTTACCTATATACCTCCTGAAACTGTTGCTATTGTTATACATAGAATGAGGCAGAAGTGGAACCCAGTCAGGATGCCATTTAACTAGTAGGGTGGAAGTGCAAGTGACAGATGATAATTTAAAGAAAAAAAGCTTACTGTTTTACAAAACATAAGCATCTGGTGCTGCACTATGCTATCTCCTGCTTCTGCTGCAGATCTTGCAAACTCTCCAGCTCCTGGAAACAGTTACGGGGGATGATTAAGCAAGGTAAAACACTGAGATTATCAAGGAAGAAGGTATTTAGGGGGAAATAAGGAAGAACACTGGGAGCTCTGGTGAAAACATCACTGTGCATCATTCGCATGTTTCAATAACCTGTATCACTGACCTTTTTAAACAGGTAACTTAGAAGTCACATATGTATGCTGTAAAATAAAGTGCAGGAGAGGATCTCATCTATGCCACTGATTTTGCAGTGGCTTTTCAGAACTTTTGAAGGTCTAATGTCAAAAATGCCTGTTTAGGCCTGATACACTAATTCTATCTGAAAATACTGTCTCGTGGGAAAAAATGATTTCTAAGAATTTTGCATTGATTTTATATAGTAAACTACACAAATGAACAAGCACTCCCAGAGATCAATACTAGGTTCAATCCTGGGATACACCTGTATTGTTACAAAGCCATCAGACAAAGTAATCACTAGTCCAAGAACCAGGCCATAACCATTACTGAATTACTAGACAAAGAGGACAATGACAAAAATGTAAAGAAGTTCAAGTGGCACAATGGCCTGTGTAGTACACACAATAAACAGCATGAGAAACAGACACACTCATTCAGATGGAAACAAGAAGCACTTCAGTTAAGAAGATATTTCAAGCCTTGAAAAATCCATTTGAAACAAACAAAAAAAAATATTTGGCAATGTTACCTTTAAAAAGTGCAGACATTACAGCTTAAAAAGGGTATAGCATTAAAAAGTTTTCCCCTAAAGAAATGATTTTATATTGAGTGTGTTCATGTCAAGCTTTCATGACTTTTCAATGCACCTCAGTTATTAGAGTATAATATATTTTGCATAAGAGAAATGGTGTCTGACAAGAGAAGGCTGTGCCTTGGAAAGGAGGGATCTTCTATCACTCTTCTGCAATGAGAGACATCAGCAGTTAGCAGTAAGTCCTCCAGTAGATTCACCAAAAGCAATGCTTACCAGAGTAAGAGGCAAATGCAGAGTTCCCAAAGAAAAACAAAATGCCTAACCGTTCCACTGGGGACCCACCAATTTGGGTATTTTGTTTGTGGGGTTTTTGTTCAGAACTGCTTTAGTTACACTTTGTACTCTATATGTAACAAATATTTAGTTAAACATCTTATTTTGTTAGCCTTAACACCTTTTATTTAATGACTGTTATTTAAACCCCTGCACCCTCACTGATTTCAGCAGTTCAGACTTCTGAAAATGAGCTAATAAAGTTCTCTGGTCCCTCAACAGCTGTCTCCATCAGATTTCTACTCTTCAGAGCCCAGAGCAGCTCAGTTTCAATGGACACTATGGGTATCTCTCTTAACAGTAGCAGTAGTGTAATCACAGCACCCAATACTTAATTCCTACTAATGTTTTTGGTGCCTTTGCTTTCCGGACTTGGCAGAAGACCATCTCCCAAGAAATAGTGCCTTTTAAAAGTTTATTAACAGTTGTATAAACAATCAAAACACTACTCTCCTTGCTTCTATTCTTTGTCTTACTGGAATCCACCGCAAAATTTGTTTGCACTTTCTTAACCAGCTGATTCCCTACTCTAATCCTACACTTTGATTATATCAACTCTTTCCTATCAGTGACACTTCTGTGACAATTGCAGTGTTGTCCAGAGTTCTGACTACAGCCCACTTTTGCCATACAATTAGTGACAAACATCACAAGGACCAGTTGCATTGTCAGGACAATACAAAACCGATGAGGGGAAACCCCGTTCTTCATTAGTAAGACTTCAACCTCTCACACAGCAGCCATCCTTTGTTTTTGCTCTCAGCTGTGAAAGCTGAATTGCAGGATATTTTGGTGATAGAAATTTCATGATGAGTCGCTATGTTCTTCCCTGCTCACTTTTCTTAAACTCCAAATTCCATCTTCCCTGAGAATAGGGCCAGAAGTAACAATTAAAATAGCAAATGTCTTCAGAAAAGAAAGTTACACAGAATTACGTCCGGCTACCAAAGTACATTTTGCTACACTAAAAGCTTTCCCAGTATTCCTCATTTTGCAATCAACGTTCCCTCTGAACTCCATGAAGTGGATGGGATGGATGATGAGTAAGAGACAATGATAAAGGGAGCAGCCAACAGTTACTGCTCATGTCAGATCGAGGCGAACGGTGAAATTCGAGCATTTAGTGATGGTGTCCAATGGACAAAACTAGAGGAATAAGGCATCCTATTACTAGGGCTGCCACCTCCAGACGACTGAGTCCTTTTCCTCCATTTGATTCAGATTTGTGGCTATGAGCAATTCCTCCTACTTCTGGGAGGACATGAACTGTGGCAACATAAAGAAAAGTCCCAGCAGAAAACAGCATAGCAACTCCGGTGGCATTAACTTCTGAAAGGGCTTCTTTGCTGCTCTGAAATGGAAAAAGACAGAAAGAACAAAAATAAGCAGATGTTCTTCAACCAATAATAAAATTCTGTAAGCAGCCAGACACAGTAGGACTTCTACCAACTCTTTTTCTATCACAGAGACAATGGTTCAATGTATTACTTTGTGTCATGCACCTTATATGTAGCAACTAAGATGACATGTTAAAGTTAGCATGTCAGAAAGGTACCTCTCATCCCAGTTAGTTCACTTTGGACATCTAGGAATCCTTAACAGAAGAAAAGAGTCAGTCTGTGCCAAATGAAACATCTTGTTTGAGCATCTCACAGCAACATAAAAGATGCCAAAATGACAAAGTGCACTTAAAAAAAATGTTTATATTGCTAATCCACAAATTTTAGGAAGGACTCAAGACTTTTTTTTCCCCCTCACTTTTTCTAAACAAAACGTTCAGATCAGATAGTAGCCTTTAAATATCTGGTCCCCTCCTGGTCAGCGCAATATTTGCTACATTTAAGTCCCAAAACATCACTCATTCAATATTTCCTTTGTATGTACAAGTGAACACCCAAATCTTTGAGAATTTCCATGCAAACTTGATAAAGACATGCATCTTCTGGATCAAATCTAAGTACCTCTTCAGGTTCATACTAGGATTAAGATCATAGGACACATCATTAAATGTAATGAAATTCAAACCCACTTGTGTCAGTTTCAAAATGCTTCTTGAACAATTTCCAATTCAAATGTGTTAGTCCTAAGGTTATTTTTCCAGACTGGAGACACATCTTCTACTCTGGAGCTATAAAACCACTGTGACAGCCCTTATGCCTTATCAATTCTCTGTTTGCAAAATGCAAACCCAACTCTTAGTAAGTCTACATCAGAAGAATACTCAAAGATCATTCTTATTTCTATTTACAAACCCAACCCCTTCTGATGTCTCCTGTACTGCAGTATCAAATATAAGTCCTTCTCATGAAGTAAAGAGATTAGCCCAGATGATTTACTTAATCTTTCCTCTCATGCCTTGATTTTCATAAGATCACATTAGATTCTTTACAACACAACACCATAGTCTGTCACCAGCATGGCCCACAGCAATTAAAAATACCGGAGAGTCATAGGAAATGCTGTGAGAAACAGAAGCATTTAATTTGGATAGAGATATAGAGTCATATGCAGTGGCCTACTTCACAGGCCATTTGTTGTATAAAGCTGAGACAAGACTATGGTTTTAAGGAGTCCAAGAGGCAAAAAGGCTGTTCTAGCTGAGGATTCAACCTCTGACATAACACGAAAAAGACTTTGAACATACAGGAACAGTTCTGAGATGGTGGGAGAAACAAATATTACGGGGGGCATACAAGGATGATGAAGGGGGACTCTTCATCAGGGACTGTGGCGACAGGACAAGAGGTAACAGATTCAAACTTAAACAGGGGAAGTTCAGGTTAGATATAAGGAAGAAGATCTTTACTGTGAGGGTGGTGAGGCACTGGAATGGGTTGCCCAAAGAAGTGGTAAATGCTCCATCCCTGGCAGTGTTCAAGGCGTGGTTGGACAGTCTTGGGTGACATGGTGTAGTGTGAGGTGTCCCTGCCCATGGCAGGGTGGTTGGAACTAGATGATCTTAAAGTCCTTTTCAACCCAAGCCATTCTGTGATTTTCTACCTGCACACTAAAATGCATGCAGCAACACTGAAAATTCCTCAGTTATAATCACCAGACAAAAGCTGGTATATGAATAAATTTTTCACAGTGGGGAGCACGCAAAAAAAAGTCAGAAACCAGCCTTCTACAAAAAGCTATACAAAACTCTATAGGAGTTACGTCACTGGTTCTGATGGAAAGCAAGGGTTATTTTTTATTTCATGCATTCATACTGCTACCTTTTCATCTACTTATTTTATCATCTCCATTCTGCTAAATTTTTCAAGCAGTTTGGAATAATGTTCTATGAAACTCATTGATTCCTTTCCCCAAACTCCACCACTAAGCTACATTTTAAGTACAACAAATCACAGACCTACCTTGCTTAGCCCTAAGTATGTCACCATTGACATAACAGGTGCTGCTAATGCAAAGACCAGCAAGTGTTTTCTAATTCGATTCCGTTCCAGCCCAGCGTGCATCAGGAAGGAAACCAGGCCAAAGGCAGCTGGTGCCTGCAAAAAACAATATTCACTTGTAATACAATACTTTCTAAAACCTTCTGAAAACTGAGATAAAGTTGAAATATGAATTGCTACACTGAAGTGTACAGACTTGGAAGAAATTCAGGCAGAGCACTAGCATATTGCCGTTAACCCAAATACAACAGTAGCCTGGAGACGGCCCTACCTTAATAAACATATGTAATGAAAACTCATGTTCTGGCTATCAGAGTACACAGATTTGTGTAGTCATTAAAAATATTAAAATGTTCACTCTTACTTGAGCCATTGCTGTAATCCCCAAATCTCCATAAACTTCTGTGATTTTTTTCATCCCGATAGTACTACACAACCTTAGAGAGACAGTTTCTTTATCTACAGCAGAAAAAAATTCTACAAAATCCCCCAAGATAGATAACTGTCAGCCTTCACATGAACAGACTTAAGAGCTCTTTGACTAGTTCACCATTAAGTTTCATTTCTGTTCCCACTGGGAAGCAAACAAACATTTCCTTCTCCCTCTGCTGGCATTCAGTTTCTTACCCACAAGTCATAGCTGTCCTGCACTCATGGAACTCACTATATTTTCACCTGCATAAGGACAACAGCAATCCACACTGACATTTTCCAGATAAGACAAACTAAAAATATACTGAGCAGTTTAATACACAGATTTTTATTTTTTAACCTGGAAAAAGGAAACCATGAGTGAAGGAAAAAAGCTAAGACAAAAACATCAATCAGGATCAGAAGACCAGAAAAAGACACCAGAGAAGAAATGCGTTTATCTTTCAATACCAAAAATTTCTTTATAATCTTTCATAGAAGAAATTTCCCTCTTCTAAAGTTATACAATTTTAAAAGTCAGTTAATTTGAACATCAAGAATAACAACAGGTTTCACTTGGCAACAGCCATAAACGAAGATTCACAGTAAGATTTGCCACCTCTGAAGACAGGTATGTAAACCACAAGTTTTGTATGAACAGATACACTATGAACATATGACATATATGAAAGATATACTAGATCCAGCTTTCCTAACATTTTGAACATGCAATTATACAAGTAAGGTTTTTGGAGGAATGTATGACTTACTACTGTAATATATGTATATGCTACCATAAGTCAAATATGCATCTGCACACGTGTTTAGAACCTACGTAGCTAATAGGTATCTTTGCACAAACGTTAAGGAGAAAGATCTTCCAATCTCCAAAACCCACTGTTTGCTTGTTACCATCAGAAAAATATTTTTTTTTGGCACATGACTGATGTTGAAGCTACTACAATAACACAGGTAACCACAAGTTACAATTTAGTACTCTGTTATTAAGTGGTTTCAAAAACTAACCCTTTAAACAGTAAAACCGTAACAAATACACTTCCCATTTTCTTAAGAACATTACATAATAAAGACCCTGCTGTGATCAGCATAAACCTACTTTTCGTCCTTGAATACACTAGCATGTACTTCTGCGCTCCATCCTCTAGAACTTCTTTGAATACAACTCTTACAGCAGTAGGAATCCAGGAAAGGGGTTGTTTAAAATAAACAAACCACCACACTAGCTTCAGAAAAAGTCACGTGAAGCTCCCACGTTTTCGTGGGCTTTTCTCTCCCTTCTTTTGGGACACTTTCCAACCACTGCAACCAAAGCAGGCAGCAGGCAGTCAGAATTCTCTCTCACTCATATTCCCTTCACACTTAGTACTCATCATTCCCTGCTTTGTCACACATCGTATCAGGGCTTTTTGGTCCTTGAAGCTGTATCACTAACCTGTCAATTCTGATGGTGTTACACATTTCCATATCACATCACTAAGGAAACTTAAGATCTTCAGCAATTTCTGTATGCTTTAACAGTCTTTTAAAGAGCAAAAAAGATTTTTTTGGGTGATGACTTACCTTGTGCAACATAATTGCAACAAACACTATCAACTGGACACTAGTTTGAGAAGTTGAAGCTGCTGCACCCAATGCAACACCATCAGCTGAAACAGGAGTGCAAATTCATAATTATTCCTCCACATTAATTTCAGCTTTCCCATCCTCTCAACAGGTGATGGCACAAAACATGTTGATTCAAGAAGTCCTGTTACTCAAAATGCCATTAACAATACCAATCCAACACGATTCACTCCCCTTTGCTGTTAAGGCACAATAATTACAGGGTATTAGACAACCTTCAACAGGAGCTGTGTCTAATTTCCCAAGACTATAAGAATCATACACAGAAATATAGTCAGTACTGACACATTCTGACAAATCAGAATCAGGTAAGAAGTTTAGTTATTTTAGTCTTCTGTAGTAGAAGTGGTTTCTCTCTGAATTAGAAAAAAATCTGGTTTAGATTCTAAGAAAATTTTAATTACTACTTTTTAAATGAATTTTCAAATAAACTGTTGTAAATACTATATTTTTACCTTTTAACATAAATATCTTGTCTATATGAAGTAGGAAATGCATTCTATATTAATCCTTAATATAGAGACATTTCATTTAGTGAAGAAATCTTTTTACCAACATCTTATAACTTATCTAGACAATAACAATTAGTAGAAGAGACTCAAGAGCATATTTATACTACACATATATAGTGAAGAACTACAACACAAACATGGGTTGGCTGCAACACACATGTAACTTTTTAAGCCCTTGCAAGTCAGCCCAAATGTCTGTCAAATCTTTGTGTTCCACCTTATTATGTCCTTTTTCCCACAAAATACATGTTTTGAACTTAAAAGTTTTTTTAAATACACAGGTCAACTGACAAGCAAACCCAAAGGTGTTTCACACTACTTATCAAATGTGTTGGTGTGTACTGAAATATAGCAGCTAAAGCAGCCAGCAAAAGAATTGAAGAGGCACAGTGAGCATCACACAACTTTTCAAATGGGAAAAATAAAGTTACAAAACTGTACCCAAACAAAACTCCATGGAACATTCTCAGCACTGTAGTATGCTTTCCCAGTGAGTTTTGGGAAAGATCCTTAGTTCTACCCAGCCTGTGTTTTTGTTGTTGTTTGATTTGTTTTGGTGGGTGGTTTTTGTTTTGGGTTTTTTTGGGGGTTGTTTTTAAATAAAAAGCCACCTTTAAGAAAAAAAATCCAAGTGTTTTCATCACATCTAAAGTTAAGCTGCACAGCAACAGAAGTCCAAGTCCTAACAATAGGTCCCATATTACCTGCAGCATGGACTACTAGTCCCAGTGTTGTTGTGATTTTGGAGTTGCCAGATCTTGCAGCTTCTGGATCTGAAATGATGATAAGGAAGGTTAAGAGAACAAATACATAAATTATGCTGGAGAAATATGTATCACTGCATATGTGTCTACCAGCCGCTTAAGCAGTTATATTCAAAACTACCAGCTTTTGTATTTCTGCATTAGGTTTACTGTAAAATAGTATGATACTTAACACCTCCAAATCACCTGAAGTTCTATCAACAAGTGACAGAATCATAGATAATGCTTTTCAATTTACAGGATCATTAATACAGGCAGCAGGAGTTGTTTTTCTTAACCTCCTGAAACCAAATGTTAGAGACCTGTGCTACCAAGGGGAAGAATAGCTAGTTTTGCATGCCCAGAATCCAGAGGTGCTTGAAGAGTCAGGATGATTTTTTTCCCACGTAGCCCAGTGTTGGCATTTTCCTTCAGGTGACAGTCTGGGGCAGTCTCTGCTGCACTGATTCTCTGACAATTCCTAATAAGCAATAAATTCTACTTGTCATGGCAGCAGTTGCAAAGACTTCCCTCCAATGTCAGTCATCATAGAGAAGAAATGCAACTAGTGCTGCTTGAGATCCAGTGTTTTGACTGGAATTGTTTGACAACCACTCTGAGGACATTTGCAGGTTAGCTCATTACACAACACAACAGGGCAATGTCCACCACTATGCAATCAGCAGTGAAGCTGTACAAAGGACCACTGCAATGAACAGAGCAGGCAAGTCCTATACAGGTACAGAAACCTCTTATTGTTCAACTGTTTAACTCCAAACAGTTGAACAGCTGTTACTTCATTATACTAGTGGTAATTATACTACTAGTCTGCACTGTAACCGAAACAGAGAGTCCAGTCCTATTCCTTCCCTCCTGTTCCCCCACCTCCAGTTTCTCCCCAGTGCCCAGGCACCCACACAGTTGCCCAGTGAATCAGATCAGGGAAGGGAGCTGGCTAACAACTAATGTATTCTCTTCAGTCAGATTGATCCTCTGAATCTAGGGGAGCCTACTTGAGCAATTCACTGCATAAGCTGCATTTGGGCGACTGTGATGGAATACTCCAATCAAATAGGAGGAGATATTCACAGAGAATGTTTCCTCTGAATTTGTTTTAGATTGACCAGAACAAAAAACACTCAAAGAGCTACATTTGGTTTCATATCCCATTCTGGCTAACAGAATTTTTACTGTGAGGATGGTGCACTGGAACAGGTTGCCCAAAGAAGCGGTAAATGCTCCATCCCTGGCAGTGTTCAAGGCCAGGCTGGAAAGAATCTTGGGCAGCAGAGCCTAGTGTGAGGCATCCCTGCTCAAAGATTCTCCTGTCAGCCTGCATCCCCTTGTCATCCTTAGTGCCACTGTTTCCTTTGAAAAGCTCTGAAAATCAGCTAGACATAACTTTGGCTCCATTTATGCTTCTTCAGGAGCACAAAGGTGTCACAGCCCCTGCACTGGCTTCCCATCTGCCCCACAACACTAACCTCATACAGGCATTTCAAGAGCTGCACTGTGAACTGCCAAGGATCCAACCAAAACATACCTCTGTGTGTGTGTGTGTGTGTGCGCGTGTGTGCGTGCGCGCACACGTTTTATGCTTCCTTCAAGACAAAATCCTTAATTTTTGAGGGACAATTTCCACCATCAGAGGAGATTATGTAGGAGAAAATGTGCAGCCAAAAGCAATAAAATACCTTTTCAGATGATAAAACACCTTTGGTGCACTCAGCCTGAGCGTGAAGCCATAGGCAGAAAACAAAGGCAATCGTAGGCATCTAAACAGTCTTCAATGATGTTGATTTACCTTTGCTCTAAGCAGAAAGCGTGTGGAAGTGAGGCTCTAGACCAGTAGGGGAGTGCAGCTGTGCAGTTACAGAAAAGTACCAGAGCTTACATCTAGTAATTTCTGGAGTCTTACTTAAGGTAACTTGCTGTTCTTTGCAAATTTTACCTACATGCACAAAAATTTTGTAGGAAAAACAAACAAAGATAAGACTAACCTGAAGGTTTTTGGAAAGCCAAAAAAATTCCCTATGGGTGATACTGTAAAACAAAGCGTTACTATATGTGCTCATACAGTTATTTCATGTTAGCAAAGCAAGCTCTCAAATTATGCTGAATTCCAGGACAGATTTTCAGCACAAACACTTCACCACAGACCTTGCTTTTTGTTTGTAAAGCACCTACTAAAACTCTCAACATGACTGATAAAATTAAATCCCAGTAGCATTAAAAAAAACTGCAACTTGCTAATTAAGACTAAGTCAATCAATCAGCAAGTCTAAATGAAGTGAATCTTTACTTACCATCTGTGGAGTGCACATGAGAGCTGCCTATCTGATCCACCAACAGCATGAAGACAAAGCCAAGGACAAGGGATACACCAATGTAGGCATGTAACCTGGAATGGTCATGGCCATACTCATGTGCAACCGGGATTTCTGCCACCTTCTCAGACTCCATCACATGCTGCATCTCACTCGCCGGGTGATGCTTCCCTGTGGTAGGTAAGCAAGCAGATTAGGAGACAGGACTAAACATGGCCAGGCTACTTTGTTTAAATGCTGCATTTTAAATGCATATTGATTGATAAAAATTGCAGAATAATTCATTTTGTAACTGAAATTGCCAATTTTGTCAGTATTGCGAGATACTGTCAAGCAGATTAAGTCATAATCTTTATTTAAGTAAGAAAATATAGAGTGAAGAAATAAAATAGGTTGAATCCACTGAGACCTAATGCGACTTTTTAAGATTAACTTATCTCAAAGCATCAGTCTCTAGTTAAATAAATTAGCACTGATACAGACTAGAACAATTAAGTCAGCACTGTCCTACAAATGTTAGTACCATCCTAAAAACCTAGGAAGTCCAAGCCCTGGGGTTGAATATTGTGTGGTTGTTTCCTTTCCCTACACAAGTTTTAATTCCATGCCCCTACCCCCAAGTCATTTACTTTGTCTCACTGAGCTACCCTGAAACTACCTTGAATCAAGGTAATTAGAATAGTCTGTATTGAACAACAATTATTATCAATTCAGACATCTTTCCTGTTTCAACCTTACAGTTTTAAAGTTTACTCTAGACATTTTATTCTTTTTTTAAGTGAGTGACAGTACAACTTTCACGCACATCACTTTATGGCAACAAACAAAATGAAGCAGAGCATAAACTTGGGCTCCCCCGATATCTGTGGCTTAAGTGACAAAAGTAAAGCTTTTGTCCATCTGGGGAGGTCTTTTGGTTGTCAAATACTCTTCAGAGATTTTAGACATTAAGGGCAAAAATTTGACTTATTCTAGTAACTTATCTTCTTGCTGGAGTATTCATACACCTTTTTGAATGAGACGCAATTGTAATATCCATCCAACTCTACACAAAGTTGGCCAGTGCCATTACTACAGACAAAGCACATCAGAATAGGCTTGGTAGCCCTTGAAAGCTTTCACAAACTTATTTGTGCTGAATGAGAGTGAGCAATAAAATAACAATACCGTACAGGACTGTTGACAGCTATATTAAAAAGTAAACTTTGCTTCAGATCATGTCAAGCCATATGACATAGTGGGTGACTTGGGACAATCTTTGTGACAGTGTTCATTGTCAGAGGAATTTTATTTGCTGGTAATACTCAAACCAAGGTTTCACTACACAAACACATAGGCTTATGATCAAATAATAATCTGAACCACGATATGCTATTTGCTCTCAGCCTGTGAGGTCAAAAATTAGAAGTTATTTATTCTGTGGCCTGTGGAAAAATACAGAAGTAAATTACTTTTGTATCAGTGACAAACACCTGTTCTGGTAACAAGCAACCAGCCTCAGAGTTAAATTACAGTTGAAACTGGGAAAATAAAGGCCCCTCTCTTCCCTCCTGCTTCCCCCCACTGAAGTTACATGAATATAAGTCAGTGTTCCTTTAGGCACCTTTCCAGGCTCAATTATGTTAATGTGTGAATTAAAAGAAAAATGTACTGAAAGCTGTCAAGTTCTCACAATCTTAAACTTCGCTTTGATTATCCTATGTTTATAAGAAAAATATTGAAAATATTTCTTGCAGTTAAATCTATCATAGCCATAAATCTTGCCTCTTCGCAATACAAAAAAACTTTACAGACAGGCTTCAGACACAACACTCAGAGTTAGGAATTGAGTCTGAATTCATTCACAGAACGAATCCTGTTTTCCTAGGTAAATACTTCTGATATTACTACTGCAGTAATGGGAAGTTATCTTTTTTCTCCATGTACTAAACCTCAAGTTATAGAGCATATAGCTCTAAACAGCAGGCTGTACATTTCATACATGAACAGTATGCCCCATTTAGTGGAAGAAAAAAAGCGAACATTCACAGCAATTGTATTTACTGCTAGCCATAACATTACAAGGAAAGTTTAGTCTACTTCAAATTAGAATTGAATGGAGAGCAAACACATAACGACAGCTCATTAGAGACATCCTACATTAGAGTGCACAAATTACAGTACAGTATAAAAGCATAATCAGAGGTTCTTTCACTTCTTGATAAAGGATGATTTCATATTATTCTTCCATTTACTTTAAATCTAAGTAGAAGAACAAATTCAGTGGAAACTAAACCAAGACAAATTACAGCATATTTAAAATGAAATTTAAAACCGTGTAGAAACAAAATATATATATATAAAAAAGCAGTACAAGAAAAGCACAGCATTAAAATTATCTCTCAATCGCAGATAAGCAATAATGGTACAGGCACTTGCAAAGTTCTGTACAGACTCAACTTTTTAGTCCTTTCTCCTGTAACCACTAAGTTGTTGCTGTTTATCTGCAGACAAATTTCTGATTCTTAGCATACTAGAAAAATCTCATACATGCAATGGTAATATAATAGCACAAGCTAAAGCAAGCTTTAAAGCACACTCAGAGGCAATGAGCCCTGACTATTTCAAATAATGTCATAACCTCAAACTGAGGTTTACTAAGACTTTGGGGTATAAGATGTGCTCCACACTCATGTGCCTATATGACACAATTAGCATTAGCTTTGACCTATTGCCCTATTTGACCTATTTGACCTATTAGCTTTGACCTTTGAAGAATGGTGATAGCAGACTAGAACAGGATACTTGAATACGGAACTATGCGTGGACATCTGCTTCATTATAATGAATGCCTTCGCTCAAGAAGGAAATGCCTCCTATTCTGTAAATTAGCCCTATATAATAATAATTTTCAGTCAGGTATATTAAGGTCATTTAATTCCAATATATTCTTCAGCTTCAAAGGCAGAAATTTGCATGAGGGAAAGTACATAAAGATCTATAAAACACTTTCTGCAATTGCTTTAATTGAGAAGCAGTCTAAACTGCAGAAAGCAACAGCAAATCATCCACAATTTCATTCTCTGCCAAAGGCCACCCTACACTTCCTTTGAAGTTCTATCAAAGTTAAACTTTAACTTTTCCCAGAAAAAGGGGCACTACACATGACCTGGCATAAATAGCTGTGGTCCCATGAACAGTACACTACCTGGACGGGCAAATGACTGGATCACTCAGCAAGTCATCAATCCACTGCCTGATCACATCTTTCTGTCAAATCACCATAAACATGCAATATCATGCCTATTGCAATTTTGTGATCCTGTGATGCTTTTGTATCATGCTGCTGTGAAACCCACCAATCTCACGTTAAAAGCCCTAGAAACAATACTGAGTATAGCCTAACACCATGACCTAAGTCACCTTGAACAAGGGTGGCTGAGTTTGGCTCTTACCTTCCAAAATGTCTTCATAAAGTGCATGTACTCCTTCTGGCACAATGACAGCCAAGGCAGTTCCACAGAGCAGCCCAGCACCCAGAACAGTCACCAACTTTAATCTTTCCTGCAAGCAAGTACAAAACAAGTATTACCTTTAAGAATAAAAACGCTTTCTTTACTCTCCAGAGGTTGGGGCAGAGAGGGGAATTATCCACAAAACCTCTTGCTAATTTCAATTCAAGAGCACCAGTTACATAGTCCTATATTTCTAACAACTTTCTAGAAGCAAACATATCCAGTGTCCAATGCAATCAAGTGAAGCAGGAAATGAAAATTAAAGATGACCCATTGCTTACATCAGACAAGAAATGAAAAGTAGCATACTTGAAAACAGCAAGAATTGTTATATTTGGCACTGATGATTATATGGGTCTAATTTACCCACTGAGGCCTCATAATGTAAGGTCTGCAGAGTCAAAGACAGACTGAAAGCGGCTGAATTTTGAAGCATGTCTGCAACTCTACATTTTGTCTCCATTCTAGGTTTGTTCTCAGTATATTCTTCGTACTAGACATTATACTTTAACATTCAGGTCCCTTAAAAAAACTGCTAGGTATGGCACAGCACAAGATAAATTGCCTGTTCCCAAAAAAGCCGAACTAAATAACAAAATACAAGAAAAAAATAAATTGGCAAAGCAAAAACGTTAAGACAAGAGAACTAACAATGTAAATGCATCTATGAATACAAATACACTTGGCAATTAGGAGTGTAAACTGGTAAGTCAGCTAGATTTATATAACAAAGAAAAGAACAGACTTCCTTTAAAAACATAAAACTGTGGACAGAAAAGTAATTTAAGAGAAAGAGCTCCAAAAGCTGAATTATAAAAAAATAATTTAAAAAGGCTTACTCAAATGAGAGTTTGAATGATGGAACTGCACCAAACTGATAATGGGGCTAATACACATTTCGTGTCAGTCTTTTTCCTTTTTTTAATCTGACTGGAGATGGATAAATGCAGAGCAATGTGCATTGGGTTTATACCCACTTCTAAGCCTTCCAGTAGCATTTCAAAATGTAATAAAGCCTTTAAAGGCACTTAAGGCAATATAAAATGATATTCTGCTCTTCATGTCATTAAAGGCCACGGTAATTCCCTTTTCCCTGTGCAAAGGTAGGTTTTAAAATAGATTTGTTACACAAGTATTGCAAATTTGCAATTAAACCGTAACAAAAAGTACATAAACTTAATGTTTTTATAGTAAAATAGTTTCATTCAGAATTTGTACAACATGATTAAAAAACACATGCAAAGAGTTTAAAAGTACTTGCTACTGTTAGTAAAGGTTATCTTTCTAGTTATATTCTAATCTGGGGAAAAAAAAGCTTATAGAAATATCACCCCTCCTGCACCCCTTCCAAACTGACTATATTCTGATTTACCAGTATCAGAACAGTTTACTATTACCCTGCGACTACAACAACACTGACAGGCTAAAGTCAAAGCCATGTACTGAAAATCCAATTATATAAACATCTAAAATATTGTGAAACACAACACCTTGCAGAGGCTGTTTCCCATCATTTCTGTAAGAGCCCTTATCATATCACACATAGCAATCATGGGAGTTTAGATCTTCATAACAACTGTGTAGCACACATTCTGTGGCAGAACTATTATCATCTTCCATGCATAGTGAGATGCCTGGGTGCTACCAAAATACTAATGTTCAATACCAAGGGCCCGGAGACAAAGATCAGTGTTTAACTAATAGGAAAACACTTGTTGCATATCCTTATTATGTCATCAGTTCTCCTTCATGCACCATGATGACACAAGCTGTTTACCTCACCCAAAGAGGCAACACTCGCCTAGGAGACATAGGAGGCTCTAGAGAGATGCACAGCCAGCTTTCTGAAAACAAGCCAATGTGACAAAAAGGGAAAAACTGCAGCATTACTGGGGAATATTCAAATAGTAATACGCAAGAGATGAAAACACCTGTAAAGTTTCTAAAAGCACACACATGGCATATATAACAACTATCCATGGTAATTTGTTATACAGTGGCAATCCATGTGAAAAGATAACCTTCAATACCCATTGTTCATAAAGTGATTTTGCCAAAAAAAAAAAAAAAAATAGTATCTTACAAGGAAAACCAGGATTATCTTAATACTGCAGCACTATAATCTATTTCCCATATGTACATACACACAGGGGAAATAAGCTTTAGAAGTAATACTGGTTTATTACAATCGCTTGCTTTTATTTGAGCAGCTGTGAATTCTAAAGATCCATTAAAACAATGCAAACTAACAAGTTATTATTTCAAGAGAAGTCTCCCTGTCCTTTTCAGTACAAAATAGTCCAACACAGTCCAAAGTTAGACCAACGCAGTACTTACTACAAATCAGCATTAGGCAGAAAGGGTACAACTACATACACAAATACAGTGGAGCTCTATTCAGTCTGTACCTTTTTACCACCAGTATATAGTCATACCTGACTTTGATGGAGTTTTATACTGATCCGAGTCAAGTGTAAACTGAGTCAAGGATTTTTCAGAGTTCAAAATACCATAAGAAACTTGATAGCGTATGCGGGTACTGTTAGTAAAATGCTACACACAGAGAAGACTATTAAGTACATGATCACTACTTATACAGTGTTGGTTTTGGATCCACAATAGAACTGTCTTTCTGCAGCTGCTGGGAGCCCCAAAAGGTTTAGAAGCCCCATGATTCAGCTATAAAAATATATAAAAACCACATAAACATAGGTCAAGAATGCTACCTTCAAACACCACTGAAGATAAAGTCTGATGCAACAGATGACTATCAAGCAAATACATGAGAAAATTCAAAATTAAATTAAAAAGAGACAATACTGGCATACTAGGCAGTGCCCTCAGCAAACTTCCAAGAAAACCCTTCCTAGGCTTCAGCACGAAAGTAAGTTTTGAAGAGACAGCAGAAGCAACAGCACTGAAGACACATAAAAGAAGGTCCATCAAAGCAATGGCAAAACAGAACTATGCTAATGTTTACGTAAAGACTTCAGAAGATAGTCATGTCTCAGCCATTTAGCTGAACTGTAGTGTTACCAAACACGATTGCCTTGCTTTCCATGCTGCTGAGGGTCTACTGCTCCCAAAGCCTCCTGGTAATAAAGGGACCAAAGGACAGGCGCAACTAGCTCTGTAACTTGACAGGAGAACAAATCACATCTCTCTTCCAGCACTCCCCAAACTTTTTTTCTCACTTTCCAAACCGCTGCTCCCAGTAGAAACGGAAAGTCTCTCATAAGAGAGCTCTTACTGCCTTAGAACAACTAGATTCTCACAACACACTTCTAAACAGCAACCATCAATCAGAAAGAGAAGAACCCCTCGGGCATCAGAGCACATGAGAAAACTTCCAGAGACTAACAATCATCATCACCTGCTTCAGCAGTCATTCTCAGAATCGTTTCTAAAAGTCCTAATTTGAGTACCCCATAGACACATAATAACAGTTAACCTCTGAGCTCAGTAGTTTCTGACACAAGCTTCCAAGAATACGCAGCTTCTATTATGGCTTTCCAATACATGCTACGACTTTGCTTCACCTGTGGCTGAGACAATCTGGCTCAAATCTGGCACATTTAAATGGCTTTTACAGACACTGTAAAAAATAAGCGTAATTCTACGCTGCGATTCTGAATAAAAATAAGCACCGCATTCACAACTTCCCTAAAAAGCTTTAAATCACGACACCACCCCTAACAGCACTTCCATAGTTGCAAGGGGACAGCGCTAACTCTAGTTTCTCCCTTAGCAACCAAAGCGCATTTCAGCGAAGCTGTCTTACCTCGGAAAAATTAACTGCCAAAGGGATAATTCCTGCCACATAGCAGGCCACCAGCATGGCCAGAGAGAGCAGGCAGATGGAGCGGAAGTCATCCATTTCGCTGCGTTCTGTCCGGTCCCTTAAAGTGAAATTGGAGAGCAACTTTTCCACCTCGTCCGAACGCCTTAACCCGTGCAGACACCGAGCTCCCAAGAAGGGCTGCCAGCCATGGCTCTCTTGCCCGACGGCTCCGTTCGGCTCGGACCCCGGCAGAAGCCCCTCCGGGCCGGGCGTACGGCAGCCGCAATGCCGCCTGGGCCGCCCAACACCGCTGCCGGGGATCCCCGGGACGGGTAGGCCCGGCCCTCACCTGAGGCAGCGAGACCTTCCGCTGCACCTACCGGCCCCGAGGGGAGACGGGGCTACAGCGGGCAGGGAGACGGCCTAAAGGGGATGGGGGATGGCGTAAAGCGAGGAGAAGGCACAAGGAGTCCCGAAATCGATGCCTCCACCCGGCCAGCGCTGCCTCAGACGCCAAGTGGCACCTCCGCAAGCCAGCACTTCCCCTTCCAGGGAGGGCGGGCGCGGCGGAGCCTGAACCCAGCCTGGCCACGGCGGCGGGAGCGGTGCGGCGAGGCGCGGCGCTACCCGGGGTGCTTCCTTTACCCGCCTGGGGCAAGGGGTGGCCGCCGGCGCCATGGGCGGGAAGGCGCGGCGGGTAACGGGGGAGGCCGCGGCCGCCTTTCCAGGCCCGAGCTGAGAGTGCCCAGCCGCCGGCAGGGTTTCTCCGGCACAACAGCCAGTTGCTCTCGGTAAAGGAGGAGGTGGGAGGAGCACCCGCCGTGGCGTGGAGCGGGCTTTCCCGGGAGCCTCAGCCTAGTTCCAGGGAGGTTCTGGGAGCGCAGCTCTTCTCGGCGAGCGCTGTCCTCGCAAATGCCTACCTTAAATGGCTGATTGGTGTTAACTGAGGCGGTTTCTGCTCGTACAGCTTTCCTGGCTCTTTCCCAGCACTTGGAGGAGGGAAAGGCGGTAACTTGCGCTGGTGGGCTGCTTGAATAGCACGCTAAAGCACAAAGGCCTACCAGTCGCACTAGGTTGTTGCATTCATTTAATAAATTTGAATGTGTTGAAGCAAGTTGTTGACCTGCGGTGGAAGGGCGGCTGCTTCTGGGTTTGCAGCGAACTTCTGCATGTGTCTGGCACTTGCTCAAAAGCAGTTAGTTCCTACTAGGGTGAGCAGCCGCAAGCCCTGGCCCCTGTTGTCCAGCGTGGAATCATGTGACACTGAAACCACTTTTTCTGCCTTGCAGAAGTAACTGAAAGTCATTTATTTGTGTGCAATATACTACTTGTATGTGCATCACTGCATGTCTTATAACACTTGTTTATCTTCTTTTGTTTGGGGGTTTTTGTTGTTTTGTTGGGGGGGGGTCCTACTTTATTGTTGAATAGATGACAATTGGTGGAAGCCTCTGTGCAGATGCTGCCTAGCTCCTGCTGGTTTGACTGTCAGCAGTGCCTTAACCATTTCTACATATTTGTGTCTTAAGTGACTGGAGTGCTTTCTAACGTACTCTTTAGAGGTTCAGAATTGTTGTGGTATAAACCATGTGGTATCACATTCAGTGACCTGCGTAACAGCAGCCAACACAACTCCATTTTTATAGAAAATGCAAGAATGTCCAACATATGCTATCAGAATCATAAGAGTCTGTACTGGGCTATTCCAGACAACCTGGGCCTAACACCTGAAGGTTTATGTATCTTCCCTTGTTTAGTTTTCTTATACCCAAAGGAAGACATAGTAGTTATTAATCACATTGATTTTTGCCCTGTTATCTAGCTACATATTCAGTAGGACAGGTAATAGCTGGAGGAAACTTCTCTCAGGCTTCTGAACAAGTTACTTTTTTTTTTTACTTTTAAGAGAGAAGTTTGATCAAAACTTTTTTATTTTTCCCCTTCCATAAGTGAAATAATGGGAAATTCCCAAAGAAATGTTTGATATGTAATGCATTAATTATATAATACGATGGCTCCAGTGGCATTCATTTCAGTAATTTCCACACCAGGATCTGATAGGGATATTGTAAACTGTCTGAAGTGATAAAAAAGCCAGAAACCCAAGTAATTTCTGCTGTAAGTTTCTGAAAGAACTGTCTTATGTGTCTGGCTCACTATTTTTTTTTATTATTATTAGTTTTATTTATTTTTTTTTTCCTGTAATCTGATTATTGGGATAGTTTCAGAATATATACGTTCATTTATCACTCAAAGATTGGGAGGAATATTCTGGATTTTTATAGGCCAGAAAACCTAAAATTATTCCACAGCAAGATACTGAGAGACAAAGTACAAAATTTACTCAGTTATCAAACAGTTGAGTTTTAGCTGTGCTCTCTTAGGTTTTGTTAGGCAAGTAAAACTTTTTCTTAGTACTGAGTTTTGTTAAAGGAGATGAGTATGTGTTTGTAATCAGACTCCGAAATCTAGTTTGCAAGACATTCTGATGCAAAAAGACACACTGACCAAACTGGCACCTGACACCTCATCCAATTGTTGTTATTAGTTAATCAGAGATCCTTAGTCATATGCTCCCAAGAAGTCAGAGTTGCAAGTGCTGGAACCAAGCCTAGTCATCAGTGACCATCAAGTAAAAATGATAGTGCTGGAAAAAGTATTGTATAATAAAATTTGGCAGTCATTCGAACTCGCTGATAGGACGCGCCTATTCAAGCACAATGCGCTTAGGAACAGCCAGATACCAGCCCCCCTCGGGAAATTCCCTTCAAATCTGGCATTCTCTGGCATACATGAAAGTGAACTGCCTTTCATGATCTAGTCTCCTTTGTGTGATTTTTTTTGTTGCAGTGTGTAGCTCTGAGTTCCCCTCTTTTTCCATTTCTGATTGGGAAAAGTCTTGCTGGGTAACTCTCTGTAACTTTTTACTGAGTTTCTCCAAGTTTCCTTCTATCATGTTATTTAAGACAGAATTTAAAGAGCTGAAAACTCTATTCCAAGTGTGAGAACACTCTATCATGGTACAAAAATTTACTGTTTTCATGTATGTTCCTGGTAAATCCTAGTATTTGCCGTTTTTCTGTCACTGCACTTGAACACTGAACTGGTATCCTCACCAGCACATCCAAAATGTGGGTCAGGATTAATTCAAGCTAAATAATATATTAAGGCATTTGTTTCCAGTGTGTCCTACTCCGCAATTACCTCCGTGAATATTGCATGTTGCGTGCTCACCTCATATATTAGCATTGAAAATGTTGGATCCGATTTCCAAAACACTGGAAATGGTGTTTTGTAGCGTGCTTGCAAACTTTCCATGCTGTGTAACCTGTTAATTAGATCACAGATTGTGTACACTTCAAAAGTCTTGCTTGTTGTTTGCTCAAATGATTTGTTGTAGCCAAGTGAAAATTATTACAGAAATAAAGCAAGCCACAGACTGTACAACCATCTAAGTCTTTCCTGCAGAAGAACAAGCCTTGCAGATCCTGACATTTGGAACCGTTATCTGTGCCATAATTGCTGTTTCAGTAGACTCACTGAAGTATGAAAAATCAGTGCATCTGTTTTGCAGGAAATCATCTTGAATACTAAGTGTGGTATTGTATAATTTGCGTTCCCCTGAAGTGAAATGAATAACTCAAAATAGTCATTTCTGTTAAAATCTTTAAGGAGAGACTGATGATGAAGTTAAGTTGGATTCCTTCCTTGCTCTTTAATTGGGGTGTTTTAAATCTTACTAATAGCTTGCATTAGAATGGAATAAGTAAGTGCACTAATGGCATGGCTTTTATGGGTTGACTTTATTGCTTTGCTTTTGCATTTAAATAGAAATTACCATTTCTGTGATACCTTTTCCAGCACAGTAGCTGCTTTCTTGGTGATTTTTAGACATTTTAAAGTTATGTAAGGATTGATAGGAACCAGAAATTTTTAACACAGCTTATATGAACAGTAAGTGCTTTTGGAGAATGCCTGTGTCCTTGATTGCTAGTTCAGTGTTCTAATATTATGCTTCTTTTTAATGCTTCATCCAGATAAATAACTTAATTCAAACAAAAAAAGTCATTCAGATGTTGCAAGTAACCTGTTTTCTTGGCATTTCTTTTGTTTTTCAGTCTCACACAATTCTACTTGTCCAGCCTACCAAGAGGCCAGAAGGCAGAACATATGCTGATTATGAATCTGTGAATGAGTGCATGGAAGGTGGGTGCAGACATGGTAGTCAAAACTGTTGTTAAAACCCCATTTTGACATATTCCCAGACTTAGTAAGAAAATAAGTTGCTGTTTTACATTAAATGTCTCTGATTTAACTAGATGGAACTACATGCAGTTTGTGAGAGTAGGCAGTATTCTTGGTGGGGTCATGCAGCAGGCTTGCCTGAATGCAACTCTTGCTAATTTTTGTGCTAGCCATGTAAAGGAAAGGTTGTTACAGGAGATAATACATGAAATGAAAGTGTGTGTGCAATTGATATATAATTTGCAGCTTTGTAGTATATTATATGCCAGAGAAAAAGTCCTCTGTGACTTTGAGACACACAGTGAGCTAGGAAAGAAAATTGAGATGTTACAGCTGTATGATTTAAATGTGGACATTCACTTAACATTAAAAATTCTAGTTCAGGAAGTTTTGCCAGGCAAACAAAAGCGTCATAAAGACTATGTAAAGCCTCTGTGCTCACTTCCATGATATATTCTTCTCAAATGTATCTGAATTATTTATGGGTTAGCTTAAATAAAACTGATTTAAATTCATCTACAGGCTTGTGCTGTCACTCTTACCTCAGAATCCCTATTTGACTCTTTCATCAAGAATTATCTTTCTTCTGAGATTTGAGTAGCTGTATGTGATACTAGTTTTTCTCTCTGGTGTTTGTACAGTAGGAATATATAGTGCAATTGCTGTCTTAAATTTACCAGAAGGAGTTTTATGTTTCCATTGGAGCTTACTGCATGGAAAGTTACATTTTTGACAGAACGAAAGCTTTTCCCTTTGGATGACAATGCTTCTTTCTATGCCTCTTACCTGATTTTATAGTATTATGTTTCCATGCAAATAGCTAAAGCAAAAAGCATTTCAGATCCTCAGAATCTGAGTAAGATGGTTATGTCTCTGTTTTCATGGTAATCATCTCTAAACTTTCCTGATATTTGTGGTTCAGTAGCTGAAGAAGTTTCAGCAAATAACATTTGTGTTTTTTTAATGTTGCTCTTGTTTCTCTGTAGGAGTCTGTAAAATGTATGAAGAGCATCTGAAGAGAATGAATCCAAACAGTCCATCCATTACATATGATATCAGCCAGTTGTTTGACTTCATTGATGACTTGGCAGACCTTAGCTGTCTTGTGTAAGTTGAGTCCATTTCAGTGGCTTAAAGAAGTCAGAAATCTTCCACCTAAACTCTTACATGTTCTGTGTGAAATCTGGTGGGGTTCTGGGTAGTGTATACAGTAACTTTAAGGCAGCAGTATTGCGGCTAGCATGCCATGTTGACCACACCAATTAACTACACTGGAATGAAGCATCTGTAAGGAAAGCTTAGA